AGCTAAAAACAAAATACTGACATCACACCTACAACGAAAACCGCAGAAAAGTCCACTGGCCGAAACATTTTAAAGAATATATCACATATTGAAAAAAACATATGTATCTTTCATATATTTTCCAATCTGGGGGAGTATTGTGCTGTTTCTTATTTTATTTTCCACACACACATACACACAATAAAAAATTAATTCACACCACGGTATCAAAAAAATACAATTGTGGGAATTCATTCCTTACCATGCCCTGTGGGGTCAAAAACAAGGACGCCGACCCAAAAGTTCGGACGTAGTGAAAAGACACCACGGGTCAAAAATAGGATTTATTGACCAATCAGGACTCGACATAAGAAACCCATTTCTTAATCTCCCCAAGCCTCATCATTCTTATATAAGGAAGGTAGAAACTCTCATCAGAAGGGAGAGAGAACAGCGACAAGCTGACATCAAAGCGACACGGACAGTTTCGAGCACACACACACCGAGAGGATTCAGCGGTTCACACAACAGGCAATATCACGTATCAGTGAACATTCTTTCACCCTCTCTTTCTCTCATCTCGCTTCGCTACACATAGTCCTACCTTTCCCTCTCACATTCCCAGTTCCTTTCTTTCTCTTTTCTTCCGCAGCTTTACGGACAATTTCATTTTGTACAAGAAAAAAAATAATTCTTTACAAAAATAAACAAAAGTTTATTTTACTTTATTTGTAGTGCATTTTCTTTTTATTATTTGTTTGAGGGACTTCTTTGCACCCTCTACAAAGTACAAGTCCTTGGAGAATTTACAAATCATCAATTTTTTTTTTTTTTTTTTTTTTATAATTATAAAAAATCTGCTCTAAATCGTAAAATAAAAAATACAACAAAACTAAGACATTAAAGCTTTTTTAATTGCTTTATATGAAAGCTATATATTATGGACAAATAGTGTCTATATTAAGCAATTAAAAGCTTTCTTAAGAAACAAAAACTTTTCAATGAATAATGAATTTTTACAAGAATTGTTTTCATTTTTTTTTTTTTTTAATTAGAATAATTTATTAAGTTTTAAATCTTCTAAAATTCTGTATTAATTTCTATCAGGACATTTGTGAGAGTGGTGTTCAGCTCATTGACAGCGGGCATGCAGCGGTGTTGGGAGTGTTAATATCTGCACAGACAGTGGCAACTCAGTGTGATAAACCTCTTACTTACCGAAATAGCTTGTTGTAATATAAGCAAAGAGTATGTTGAGATTGGGGGACACTTAACCGATTACTCTCCCAACAATAATGGGAATAATAGAGAAAATGGATATGTCTGACAATGAGGATGAAATCTTTGTGAGCATGGGTAGGCCAGATGATCCCATGGAAGATGAAACACATGGGGACAAGGTAGAGGAACACGAACCAGATCCACTTTGGAGAAGCACTTGACAAAAGAGACCCATTCCAAGCTGTCATATTTGTGATCAGGGTGGAGTGTGGCACACAGATGCAAAAGAGACCTCAGATCACATACAGACATGTTTGTCAACACCAGTTACATCTGGGTTTTTCCTTTTGCTGAATATATTGACTTACATGTGGCACTGCATTTATATCTGGGCAGGGAATGAGACTGGCATTGATGTCTGTTCCCTCAATCTCTTTCTCCCAGACATTGTGTGATTCAGTTTGTTACAGTGATAGCACAGTATGGCTTTGTCTCATCACTGACTCCCACTTTGCCTACTTCGTCAACTCAAACAATATCTACCCAAGTGATTAGCATCACCACCACATCTGTGGTAGATATCACTCTGTGTATCAATGGCAAAGGGAAGTCTGTACCCAGTTGCTCAGGTTTTATGGCTGCCACAATCAATTCCACCACCAGTGTATCATCTTTCGGTAAGGCTCTGGTCCAGTCTAATAGCTAGTTGACATCCAGGGCATCCATTCAAGTGGAAGCGTGAAGCAGCTTCCTGATGTACTCAGAGGACCAGAAGATGTCTTGGTTATCAGGGTTGTAGGACAGGCGAGTTGATTGCAGGGTCAATTCCATGCTGGTTGATACTGTTTTTGTTCAATGGGTCATTGATTACTTGCCACCTTGGTCCACACTTTACTCTGCCCACGTTATGTTTCTTGATCACAGAGCTCGTGGGGATCGAGTATCATCAGGAATCATAGCATTGGTTCAAACCATGGTGAAGCTGTGTTATGAAGGAAAAAAGTAGAAATGTTCTCACAGACAAAATAACAAAAAAATTCTTTAGGTTAATTTTTGATTTGGTTTATGTAGTTCTTTGTATAACAAAATTAACCCTTCCCACTAAAATCTTTATAGTGGCACTTTGCCTATTGGTGCTAATTTTTGGAACAGGGCTCAGTCGGAGGTTCTTTTGGCAGTAAATCACATGAATCTCAGTAGCACCTTTGTCTGCTCTTTCCCACTGGTCTCTAATGTCTCTCTGGATTGCCTAATTTCCCTGCTTATTGAATTGACTGAAGACTGAAGTGGAGGTTGATGGTATTTGGGAATCTGGTGGTTCCTCAGATTTCTGTATCAATTTAAACAAGAGTTCTTTGTTGTCTGGTTCGCAGTATTAATTTCCAAATTTAGGAGTGTCTCATCTAAGTCTGTTGCTTCAGCTGTCTCTTTGACAAATCTGATTTTTTAAATCAAATTTTCTCTAGTTTTATTCATGCAAACAGATTTACCGGCTGTTTTGTCTGACCTACTATTAACAAAACTTGTCATCATATCTTTTTGCTTAATCATACTCATTAATCTTACACATTTGTTTCTTATCTCATTTTCTTTGAGCAAAGGATAAAATCCTATTTCTTGATTTGTTTACATTTCCAAAATCTGCAAAGCTATTTCCACTCTTTGACTGGCAAGCATAAATCAATTTCTCAATTCTACCTTCATTTTCAAAATTACCAAATATTATAACTCAATTGTCCCCTTCTTCCTGAGAAATGTTTTTGTAACTTCCACTTTAATTAAGCAGACATAAATCAATTTCACAATTTCTGTTTTCATTTCAAAAATTCTCAACTAACCTCAAATGTACTTTCACTATTCCTTCTTGACCCTTCCTCATGGCCTCTGGTAATATCTTTTCCCAAAACCAATAAAGTCATTCTTTTCAGGTCTGGTTTTTTTTCTCTTCTTTCTTTAAGTTTATATGTTATTCTGTACTTTTAACTCTCTTTGTCTGTTCCAGTTCATATTTTAAATTAACCTTTTTTCCTTTACTAAGGGCACACAGGAAGTTGGAATTAACTCTGGCTACACTTTCAGTGCAATTTTGACTTGCTGTTTGTGGGGATAACATCCACCCCCATGTGCTGAGATTGGTACAAGTACTGTAGTTTGTGTTGAGAGAAATGAACAAACAAATTAAGCTCTTGAAAGGCAGAATCAAGTAGTTATTTTATTAAAATGTGAAGGATTAAATGTGGAATAACAAAAGGATTAGAGGACACAAAATTTCACTGACTATGACTTTGAATTCTTTACATATTTTCCACAAGCTTACACACATTTCACAATGGACGGCACTGGTACACTAAACTCTTATTACCCTATCTCTATTGGTGACTGAAATTTAATCTACCGAGATATTTGTCAAGGCAAAAACTGTCTTTTTGACACTTTTTTTTTTTTTTTGGCCTGCACAAAGGTCCAAGTTTACATTTGAGCTCTGCTAACAACTTTGGGCTAATATTAATCCTGAATTGTTTCATCTTTAAAATAAATTCTTTTGTTGTTATAACTTTAGACTTTTCATTTCTGCATCTTATATTTCACACCAAACTTCATTTCTTAACAAATTGGTTGATGCAAAAATTTCCTGCATTTTTTTTCCCCCCCACAAACTCTTGTCTTCACATACATTCATAGCATGATTATTCAGTGATTAAAATATTTTCCATTATCTTATGTATATATGTGGGGGATGCAGAAATACCTGGGTTGGTTTCCAGGTACAGGATAAGCCCACTGTAAGTGTTGGACCCCTTCCAGCATCCAACTGGGAGAAGGAAAACTGATGTAATATCTGCGACTTGACAGCATCCAATGATGTCAAGTGTTTCTTTTAGGATACATGCTGGTCTTGTTTAGAAGGTTGGATTGACCAAGTGCACTGTCCTTTTCAACTTTAAACATTTCATACACAGGCATTGCTTCATATCATAAGATGTTTTTTTTTCCTGCATGTTGTGCGGTTTTGCTGTAACAAAAAATGGCAGTCAGAACCAATGAGGGCTTGTATTGGAGATTTAAAAAGTTTGTCTAGTTTAAAGAGCCATATTCATTTAAAGCACAACTGGTAACTTGTGATGATCATACTCAACTTTGAGGTGGCAGCCATCACACACTTGTGAAGTTGATTTTGAAAAACAAATTTTATTTATTCTTATAAATTCCGAATATCATTATTCAGTCATTGTCTACTGAAGCGACAACTCTAGAGCTTGGATTTTAATGAGCAGCAATTCCTAAAATATCTTTGTAAATCGGGTGTCTTTTATAGACTGGTAAACATGACATTTTTTTTGTTTTCTTTAACCATTTATAATAGAAAACACAATTCAGGTAAATTGTGTATTTTGTTACAAAGAACAATTTGATCAAAAATCTTTAAACAATGGAGCTGACAAGGAATTTTGCCTATTTGTTGGTACCAAATATTAGACTTACAAATTTGTAATAAGTGCAAAAAAACAAAAACAAAAAAATTGTACCAAGTCAAATATGAAACCTGGATTAAGTTTGAGTAATATTTGAATTACCATCCTTCTTTTTTTCTTCTTTTTTTTTCTTAATAGTGACAATAGTGTTTGGTCTTACATGCCATCAAATGTATATGTGCACAGCATGTCTACATGGTACTAAATTTCTAAAGATAGGCGAGATAAAACCAAATAAACAAAATCTTTGTGTTTCTTTTATTCCTTTTAAGGTGTTAAGAAAAATGCTTGAAAATGGAGTTGGGTTCTCCAGTCTAAATCACAGCCATGTGTGATGAACTGCTGCTATCTTTAGAGGTACTTGCTTCTACCAGTATCAAAAGAAAAAAATCATGGTCACAAATTATCTGGCTTGGCAAGGTAATTTCAACCTTTACTATTTATATATTAAAACAATTGTATGTAATCAAAAATCTCTGTATCTATCAACAACCCAAAATATATTGATTTGAAAATTACTTTTCTCCATGCACAACCATAAATAATTATATTTGGGTAAACAGACATTGCTATTCACTAACAATGAATAAAGCCCATTGCCAAACTTTTCTTTTTTGGAAAATAATGTCAGATTTTAGAATAACCTTTTAGTGTTCGAATATATTATTATAACTAGCAGAGATACATGGCATTGCTCAGAAGATCTCTGAATAATAGTTTATTATTGACAATTTATTGATATTTTTCAGTTATCTTACAGAAAATAATTTTTAATTCAGTCTTTAAAAAAAATAGAAGTCATTTTTTTTTGGTTTGTTACGAAATAACTAAATTTAGAAAAATACCACACTACCAATACCATGCTGGGGGAGGGAGCATCCCAGCATTTTCATTCAAGTAGCTTATTTTTCGAATTAAATACTAGCATAAATACTCTGTTAATGGTGTTTTCAAACAAATCATTGATTTATCTAAGTTCATTAACCTTTTTTCAAATTATTAATAAAAAAGCAAATAAACTAAAATTAAGATATATTTAAACATATTTAATTTAATCATTTTTTTTTTTTTTTTTTTTTTTTTTCTGCAAAAAACTATAGCAAGCCTTACTACTTCAAAAAATAATTATTTACTATTTATTTTGAGGGGAATTAGATTTTTTTAAGTAAATAAGGATTACATTATATAGTGGAGAAAACAGCGACTTACCTTATCAGACCAAGTGACAGTGCATCGCGTGTATTCTATGATGGAAAATGTGGCGAAAAAGAAAATTACTTACCAAACAAAAGGGCACGTATTCTGCATGACATGCTGAAAATGGAATATTTGAATTAAAAAACAAGTCTGTCGCAGGAGTCGCTATAAAAGTATTTTGATATGCAAATTACTGAATATCCTCTCCCAGCTGTCGACGAATGTAAAAATGCTCGGCCGATAAAAGCAGTTGGTGTTCTCAAATTGGGGAGCAAAATTTGGGTATTTTGGCTACCACGTTTGTTGGAGAATGAGTTATTTTTCTGACTGGTTGCGTGCATTGTGATTTGTGAGATAGTACCTGCGAATCGAGTTTTTGGCATTTCTTTCTGCCCTCAATGTTTGAGTCTGAACTTAGTGATTTATTCTCTGTGACGTGGAAATAATCTGCGACAAACATTTCCTTTGTAATCACAGATCGCTTACACATTGGTTAAATTAATTTTTGAAAAAATAAGGCTTGTTATAGTTTTTTTACTTTAATAAAACTTAATTTCAAATTATTTACTTTTTAATGTTACAAACCAAAAAAAATAATGAAGTTTATTTTTAAACATTGAATAAAAAATTATTTTCTATAAGATAACTGAAAAATATTAATATGTCAATAATACATGCACATACAGACAACTGCCCTTTATATATGTATAGATAGATAGATAATGATATCCCCACAACATAAACATAAAAACAAAATGTGTGTATTTAAAGTAAACCTGTTATTAAAATAGGTAATTAAAAATTTCCTGATTAAAAATGTTGAAAAAGATAACATATGCTTGTGGAATGTCTGATTCTATTAAAGCTACTAAAAATTCACGCCCTTCAACATCTACAGGAATTCATTTGGTTGTGTTTGTACAATTTTTGTTTTGAATATTTAATATTTTTCTTTTAAATTTACTTTCTTTTAATATTCATTTTTTTAAAGTTATGCTTACGTTTATTATAGATATGGAAATAAATTCAAAAGAATAGAAATTTTAAAAATACATGTAGCATTTTGAAATTATCATCAGAATAAAAAAGTAAAAATGAACAGAATAAGAATTATTCCTGTTTGTTTTTACTTTTTAATTCTGAGAATTTTGTATGCATTCTAGTGCAATTATTGAGTATTTTTATTTTAAAATATCTTTGTAAATACAAATCATATGATAATTTTTTTTTTTAGAAAAAGGTGGGTTGGGTGATGCTGAATCTGTGTGTGTATATATATATATATATATATAGTCATAATTATTTTAGCTTTTTAGTTTTATCTGCTCACACACATGCACACACACTCAACTGCCCTTTTTATATGTATAGATAACTGCACAAAAATATGTTACTCATTCCTAATGTTTGAAGTGTCCTTTTTGTTAATTTTATATCACTCTTTCAGAATTTAACTTAAAACTTTACATACCGCATCATCTTGAACTTGAAAAAAAAAAGAGATGTATTTACTTTTTTTTTGCATGAGTTTAAGCTTGGTGGTAATGCTTCTCAAACTGCTGCCAACATTAACAGAGCATTGGGAGAAGGATCCACTTGTGATTAGATAGTATGGCACTAGTATTGAAGTTCCACAGTGGGGATACGAGTCTTGAAGATCCAGTTGGTAGGGGATGTTCCTCTGCAATTGACAATCAACATCTGAAAACACTAGTTGACTAAAACCCATGTTAAAGTGTCCAAGAAATATCTCCAATAATGGGTGTTGTCAGAATTTCAACAATATTGAACCATCTCAAGAAAATTGGCAAAGTAAAGAAACTTGATAAATGGGTTCCACATGAACTCGGTGAAAATCAAAGAGTTTGTTATTTTGAAGTGTGTTCAATGCTGCATCTGCAAAATTCAAATGATCTATTTCTTGATTGAATAGTGACTTGTGATGGGGAATGCTTCCTTTATGATAGCAATAAACTATCAGCTTGATGATTTGATCTTTGTAAAGGACCCAAACATTTTCCAAAATTGAAGTTGCACCAACAGAAGATTATGGTGACTGTCTGGTAGTGCACCATTGGCATTATCCATTACAGCTTTTTGGAATTGAACAAGAGCATTACTGCCAAAGTTTTCATCCAGCAACTGGATGAAATATCAATTCAGTTAAGCTGGTTAATCGACGAGGTCAAATGCTGCTTCATGACAATGCTTGATCACATGTTGCCAGGATGACACTACAGAAGCTCATGATATGAGACTTTGCCACATCCGCCATATTACCAAGATCTTTCACCCATGATTACTTTTTCAAGCATCTTGACAATTTTTTTTTTTTTTTTTTTTTTTTTTTTTAAGCCAAAAGACATTGTGTAGCAAAGGAGATGCAGAAACTTTGTTCAAAGATTTTTTCACATCCAAACCATTAGAGTTTTAAAGACAAATAACCTTGTAATTCAATGACAGAAATGTGTAGTTCAGGGTTCCTATTTTGATTGACTAAAACACTGTTTATATACATTAATTCAGGAATAAAAGTTGATTCTAAAATTGAACATTATTTTCTGAACAACCAAATATTTTGGAAAAAAACAACAGTATTTTGCTAACAACAACTTTGCGTTGTTTTTTTTTTTTTTTCTTTCTTCAGCTGTGGGTTTGTAAAATGTAAAAGTAAATAGTGCCAAGCAAAAAAGTATGTTCATGTAGAAAAGGAAAAAAAAAAACTTTTTACAAAAATATTGTTTTGTCTAGTTTTTGGAAATTAATGCTGCTTTTATTTTGTTCATTAAACATAAATTCCTAAAAGAAATATTTCACTTTTTAAGATGAGAATGATTTTCTTTCCTGTACTATTAAGGCAAATTAACTGCTTTGTGTTCTTAGCCCACATATTGACTGCCTGTCTAAAAGTGAGAATGTTACATATTTGTGTGTGTGGAGGAGAAAAGTGAGGTCAGTTCTCATTGGTTTAGAAAGAATTAATTAATTATAATTGTTATAATTATTTTATTATAATTATTTTTGACACTTTGATTAATTTTTATTTTTTTCATGGACAAAGTGATTAATTTTTTTATTTATGAATTTTTTTTTTAAGGACATGCCACTGCTTAATGTTAGAGACACAATTAATCTATGGTAGAATTGGCTAACTTTCATATTTGCCTCTTTTTAGTAACAGTACAAGTCTTTCAACCAGCCTCCAGTGTCTGGATTATATTGCATTATGATAAATTCCTGAACTCTAACAGCTTGTGTTAGTGCAGTGAACCAAAATAAAAAATCTTTAGATGCATGCTTTTAACCCAAATTATGTTGCTTTATTTCTCTGATCAATTTTAATGAGACATTAAAAAAAATACACCTCATTTGTGTGACAGTTTCTTACTCTCTTGTTGTACATCTCATACATGGCATGTATATATTATTATTATTTTATTTGTTCAGTGGGGGTTGGTATGTGTTTGTCTCAATTTCATTTGTAACAGGAGCCTGATTTTGATTAGTTCAAAAAATTCAACCAGTTTGTAGAATAACTTATAAAGGTTTAGCTATGTAGAAAATTTGTAATACATTTGTAATACATTTTCAGTTTTCATTTCTTTAAAAGTGTTATTCTCTTTTTTTTATGTAAACTTGTGGAAGATATTTTCTGCTGCACTTTGTATAAACTCATGCTCTTATTGTAAAGACCATTGCTTTCTTTCACTCTTGACTTTTTCAATCATTTTTCTATTTATTGAAAAACATTAAAAAACAATTGATAATTTAAAAATTGATTTTGTCTTCTTAATTTATGAATTTCTTTCATTTATATTTCTCTTGATATTTATGTTTGATTCTTCTAATCTAATTTTGTATTTATATCTTTAATATATTTTGTTCTTATTTTTTTCTGCTTGTATTGCTATCTTTATTACCTTGCTTGTACAGTTTCATTTCTGTTTTGAGTTTTCTAATCAATAAAATGATGTTCCCTTAATAAGTTGCTACTCAAAAGTTTCAGGGAGTTTGAACAGATTTTTTCAATTTGTTCATGTCAAGTAGCTCAACATTAATCATGGTTTGCAGGATACATACATTCTCAAAATCACTTCACCATGAAATAATTAACATTTTTTTTCTTTTCTTTTTATTTTTTTTTATTTTTTATTTTTTTTCAAGAATCTAATTCATACCTTAAGTTTCCACACACTTTTTGATAAAACCTTGTATTGGATTGCCCCCAAAATTAATTCAAACAAACTTTTTGGTCAATCCAATTGCATTTATTTTTTCATTTTGTGCATCTGCTGTAATGCCTTTTATAAAAATCTTGACTAAAAACCAGTTAATGGTGATTTCTAAGAGTTAATAAATTTTATTTTCTAGGAGGAGGAGGAGGCTGAAAGCTTGATTCTGCTGGATCCACAGCGTATCAGCCTCTTGTATATTCCTCATGGACAGACAAAAAAAAATATTCCCAAGGTATCACCACTTGTAGCAGAAAGTCTTCATGTGAATGCATCCAGCAATAGTAAGTGTTACGACGATCCATTCATGCATAAAATTGTTATTGCATTTGTCATGTTCAATAGTTGTTGGCTGATTAGCTACTTCTAAACGTGTTACTAAGCAGCTGATTGACTTTTACTATATTCTTGTATAGTAAGTAAAAAGAATATATATTAAGTTGTAAGACTGCAGTTGTCAGGTTTATTTTGTTGGACCTGTCAAACTTGCTACTAAGACAAGAGTAAATAGCTGTGTCATCTTGTTGGGAAATCTGTCTTGGCTCTCCCACATCAAAGGGTTGAGGTTAAATACAGAAAAACTCCTGCTCAGTGTGTAACAATAAAAGAAGAAATTGTTTATTTACATATACAGAAAAAAAAGGGTAAAGGGATAAAGACAATTAAGAGAAAAGAGAAAATGGCCTTTAAGGGAAGAGAAAATCTTTATAACAGAAAAAGGGCTTGCTCAAAATATTTCTCTGAGTGCCTAAAAAGTTTTTAAGCGAGTAGAATTTTGTTAAGGTTTAGATACACTCAGTTTTCTTCAAAGTTCCTACAGAGTTGGAAAATGTTGGTAGATATAGGAGTTCTGCAGTTGATTGAGTTCATAGGTCGACGAGAAAGTCTTGTAGGTGAAAGGAAGGCAGTTTTCAACTGGTCTTTAATTGTGGGCTGACATTTGTTCTCAACAGCCCTTCAGTAGGTAGTTCTTCTTTGGTTGAAAGTGGTTCCGAAGTTGACTGGTGCTCTCTATCGCAGACAGTGGCCTGACATTCTTACTGCCAAATAGCAAAAGATTCTCCAAATTTATGAAGATTTGGGAGGCTCAGAAGGATCGGGGACTTTTCCCTCCAAAATCGTTATACAAATTTCCTGGCCCCTCCAAAAGAAAACACATTCTTATCTCTGATAAGAATCAAGGCTTTGGGAGCTGGTTTTGAAAGTAAGGAAAAAGGTTGGAGTGAACAAGCTGTGAGGTTTCCCCCAGACTTTATGGCACCATGGAAAGAATAATGGTAGTGGAATTTCTTTTTAAATTTTCTAACTCTCTCATTAGTCAGAAAATATATTCTTATCTCTGATAAGAATCAAGGCTTTGGGAGCCGGTTTTGAAAGTAAAAAGAGAGGTTAGATTGGAAAAATAGGCTAGAATGTGAACTTGTAAAATATTGTTCTCAAATTAAATTCCAATAATCTGCATAAATACCTAATTGGGAACTGATGACATCAGGAAGGTCATTGATGAAGATCAGAAACCATGTAGGTCTAAGGATAGAGCCCTAGTGGACTCCTGCATTAGTATGAAATGATTTGGATGTGTGCCTGTTCAACACAACCTTCATTATACGATTTGTTAGAAATGATCGGATTAAGCCAAACATTTGTTCCATGACACCATATTTGTGAGAGAAGGCCAGCATGCCAAATCCTGTTGAATTCCTTTTAGATATCTAGAGCCACAGCCTGAGCTTTGGCATTCTTAAATAAATTTTGATAGACATATTCAGTGATGGTTGCTAACATATCACCGGTAGACATGGTGAAATGGAAACCATATTGTTTGAAAGAAGGCCATGCAAATTAAGGTGCTTAATCAATTCAGTGTTGACTAGAGCCTCAGGTACTTTTTGCCAAAAAGAGATAAGAGATTAATAGGGCAATAATTTGAGGTTGTCAGAGAGTTCCCTGAAGTTCTTACAAGTTCATTACAAGTAATGACAAAGAGATGTCTGTTACAATCAGATCTGTCATGTGGTATAACCAGAAGTGATTCCTGTGGGCTATAGCAGTTGAACAGGCAGGAGAGTGAACCAAGATTGTGATTTCACTTGGTATTTCTGTGCTAGTACAAAAGCTCCAATCCCAACTTTCAAGCAGGAAGACCCCCCGTGATACATTTCTGAACATGATTAAAAATATCATTCCAAAGGGTATTGTAAAGAAAATCATGAAATGAGTCTCAATCAGTGCATTGATTACAGATAGCTTGTGACTGATGGGAGAGCAGGAAGGGATATCTATAGACACTACCATGTGGTTGGAGTTGCCAAGAAGACAGAGCTGCAGAGCATGTCATGAGTCTGGAGAGGTGATAAAAAACAGATCAAGCAGAGTAGTGGGTCTGTCAGAATTACTACTGAGGAAATGGTGTGGGCAAATCTATTTGAGTGAGAGATTGAGTAATAGAGAAGTTCGAAGTCTGGATGCTAGTGAGGTCAGTGATATTAGTGATTAAGCCACCTGATATTATGAGTATTGAAGTTGTTGAACATAAAGATATTTGCAAATGTAGAGAGGGCCTAATCTATTCTCTCAGAAATTCTATTTAGCAAGCATCAGTCATGAATGGTAGGGGGAACAAAGAAACGAGAGACTAGATTCAGTATTGAAATACGGAATATTAAGATTTCTTTCCCACAATTAATTTCTAATTTTGTTAATTTCAGGTGTGTACTTGGTTGGTTTGCTGCAAGATGGTGTTATTTTTCTTTGGAAAAAAGAGGTGGATACTCTCTGGCTAATCCAAGGACTTCATCAGTATGTTGATGATTGGGAAACGAATCAAGGTCAATGGAAGGTTTCTTGTTTAATTCAAATATCAGGATTTAAGCTGAAACATTTTTTTTCACCTTTACTACCTTTTGAGGAGTATCAGTTCTGAAAGTTTGATAGATTGCTTCTATTAAAATCCAAAGAGTATGCTGGAAAATTCCCTAACAGAAAATCACACATAGGCAATATAAAATGGGGTATTTTTTTTGACAATACATAAACTAGTCTTAAGAGCTTAAGATTCAAGTCTTGGAAGTCTTCTCCTTTCCTTGGATGACAGTTGCAGGTATCAATCTGCCCCACAACTTCCTTCTTCTCTTCTTAGCATCTCCCACTAACACTCCCCAGTGGGCATCGATAGCTCCTCCACCTTCCTCATTGTTTCATCTGCACCCACTACCTCAGCCACCCTCCCTCCAATCAATAGTTTTCAACTATCTGTCAAAAATTAATTCCAAGTTTGTTAATCAGAAAGAGTTATCATTCCACACTTGTCTACACAAAAATTTCTCGCATCAACTTTGTTTTTCCTTGTCCAAACTTGAACACAAACCAGATGGCTTTCTTTTCCTTTGTGTCCTGTCAGGGATATTCTCCAAAAAAAAAAGAAGTTTTTATCTACTAATTATGTTGTTCATTGTTATCTGATTCTCTCTACTTCTGTTTTCAAGGTTAGTACTCGTAACAGGGGTCATCCATCAAATGTCAAAATTATCTACCAGTTGGCTGGTCGTAAAATTGGGTGTTGTTTTTAGCTAGCCATCTGGTTCTTGGCATTTGAGAAAATAAAAACCTTCAATCTCTCCATGATGTACTATTGGCATATCGTTCCTTCTATCTAAAAAAAAAAAAAAAAAACTTATTATTTACCAGTAACAAATAGTATCACACTATGACCTTCAAGGAAATGTAGTAATATTATTCAAGGTTTGTACCAAAAAGTAAGATCTGGGATCAAAAGGGAATTTACTACAGGAAAGGAGGACAAAGAAAGAACAACAGTGGTTATGACAAGTTAACAAACTAATTCAACTGTTTTTCAATGATACTATTAGACAAGCTACTTCTTTTTTCTTTGAAAGTGTCTGAATAATAACAAAACCATTATGAAAGTTTTTTTAAAAAAGAAACTATTTTCAAGTTTTGAAGTTGATAAGTTCTTGTTTCTTACTTCTACCATTTCATTCTATTATAGATTTCTACTTGTCAGCATGTTTATTAGTTTCATAGTACAAGTTTTACCACTTGTTACCTTACCTGAGGCCTGTCACTTTGTTCTTATCACATCAGCTGTCTGCAACATGACAATCTAATGTCAAACATCTCATTACTGAGTTTAATTCTCTAACATGATTACGACTCTAGAGTTTTGTATTGCAAAAGTAACTACAGTGTTTTGTTTTTTGTTTTTTCAACTGGAAATGAAAAATGAAATTAATGTTTGAACATAAACAAGCGGCTATAAAATAAAAAATTAATGTAATAAAAACATTTGTAAGACATTTGGTTCTGATGAATAATGACTCTTACACACAATCTTTATTTTATTTTTAAAAAATGATCAATTGTTTGTATCTTTTTTATTTGCAGCTTCTTACAAAGTTTTTGTTTCAAATGATGCTACAAAGATCTTGGTGGTTGCTGGCAGTGGTCATGTCTATGTGTGGCTACTATCCATGTTCCAAGCTGAACATAGTGCAAAGCAACAGAACCTTGATGGATGTTGGTATCCAGTTGAGGTTCCCATCAAATTTCGGGGGGTTTTCAAAGAAAGGGACAAACTCTCACTTGCCTCGAGTATATTCTTCAGTAATCAGGTAAGCCTCAGGAAGAGATAAATATTTTGTCACTTTGGTATTGCTGATTTTAAAAGTGCATAAGTATACTGACTGCTAGTAAAGGAAGCATTTGTATATGTCTCCTTTGAGAATTAGCATTCAAAATTTTGGTGTTAACTTGAATATCAATTATTCACAAATGTATTGGCGGCACTAATATTTTTAAAAAAATGCCTGTGTATATTGAAAAATCACTACTGAAAGTCCTAGTTTGTTACCTGGACTCACTGTATGCACTGAAGAGAAATACATAAATCTGATAATTTTTGTTTTTATTGACAAGGGTTAGAAGGTCACCAAATATATGTGGAAATCTAATACTAAAATGAAAAATAGATGTTAAGACAATTTATATCAATATTTCTGGTGATAAGTTAAACCTGTCTAGCTGAGAGTAAAAGGTGAAATTTATATATTTATAAATGTTTTTAAAGTAAATTTCTATTCTACCATTTCAGCCACCAAACAAACTTGTATAGATATTTATGACAACAAATATATGGGTTGATTTGGCATGAGACCATTTGGGAAGGAAAGATTGTCTTTATGATTAAAAATTATTTTAACTTTACAAACCTTTAATTTATCCTATTGGTTTGGACAAAAGTTTAATTCTGTTTTCGTTGTTAGGTGGCATTAGGAGCATTTAGTTTTAATTAAAAGTAATAACTTTTTATTGTATTATTACAGCTGTAATATCAGTGTTAATTAAAAAAATAATTGTCAAAATTGATGTATTTTTGTCTCTTAGTTCTAAGATTGAGGCTAAGAGAAAATAAGTAACATATTTTTAAAATTAGTTTTTTTTAACATAGTAACTCAAAAGAAAAAAGATTTTTGTGCATTAGTTACTATGAGTGGTCAAATGTATCACAAGTAGTTTGGGAAGGTTCTTATTTTGTCTTGTTGGTGGCATCTAGAATTGCATGCCCTACCTTCAAGGTCACCTATTAGACCTGTAATGTATTAGACATGTAAACTGTAAATTCCTCTTTGGTACTTGGGTTAGACGTGTTGAGAAAGTGAAGCAATATGTAACCTCCCTCTCGGATGCTGCAAATGCCAGAAATATAATCATCACAAAGCCAAATATATGGGATGACCAAGGTATGAGAGATGTGCACCAAAAGACCCAGACTATTCTGATTTGTAACATGATGGAGCCACTGAATGTATTCTCACACAGCATGTACATGAACATTTGAAATCTAGAGAAAAGAAAAGGAAATCATTGAGGTGACTTACAGAAACAAGAACATTCCATTTTCAGAGGCACAAAAGAAAGTTCATTCCCAGACCAGAAATGTCTTATGTTTGCATATTGTGCAAAATATCAACTACAGCCAATGCCAGTCAAGCAGATAAATACAAAGCGCACAAATTGAGGGATTTAAAAAACTAGGACTGAATGACTGACGACTATTCATAAAAGAAATCAAAACAACGTTAGGAAAAACTAAAATTATGTCCACTGCTAATTCCCATAAAACCGAACCAATAAAAAAAACCCAAAATAAAATAGTTAAAAGCAAGAAAACCAAAAAAGCATATCATTAATGCCCTTTGCATATCAAGAACCCATTATGAATGCCCCAAATCATATACTAAACCAAAGTCCAGCCAAAATCACAAATCTCCAATCTAGACACCCATCTCTACTGAAAGATCTTCTTTATTAATGACCCCAAAAGAGATATAACCTCAAAAAGCAAGAAACACCTAGTCAAAGATAAGAAAATAAAATACATCAGTAATCCACCTTAAAAAAAAAAAAAAAAAAAAGATTCACAAAATTGAAACATTCTCTGGAAATGACATTCTAGAATAATTGTAAAAAATAGAAAGAGAAGGCAACCTTCACCTCAAAAACTCAAATTAAAAATTTTCCTTAGAAGCAATCCCTATACTATATTTTGACCCATGATATTATTCAATGGAAGCTCTCATTAAAAGAACTAATTTCCCTTTTAAATCAATTTTTCTCATGTTTAAATCATTTAGTAACATTTAAGTTCAATGTTTCTCTCTCTTTCTTTGACAGCTGATACTGTTAAAGGAACATTTACATTATTGTCATAGCAAGAATTATCTTCTAGTTAGTTCTGGATTAAAAAAAATGACTTCAATATTAAATAACCCAACAAGTGTTGATATAGTAAAATCAACCTGAAAGTAAGTTTCATGCTGGTGGTTTTTCAATAATGTTCCATGGTTGGATAGATCAGTTAAAGTTGATAGTGATTAAAACAAAGCAGACTATTGAGAACAATCAACATTATATGATGTAATAGAGGCAACATGCTCAAAGTAACCATATTAAGCAATAAAAATCATTTGAATTGGTTTGGTGAGTTACTTTTATGTGTAACTTTTCACATTAGTTAGCAAAAAGAAAATTAGCCTACAGGGCTTTATATACACATGTAACTCACTAACAAAATGTAAATGTTCTGCTTTTAAAACAAATTGTGATGAGCAATGAAAAGTGGATACTTTATAACAATTAAATGCAAGACAATGTAGATCAAGTGAAATTAATCTCTACTAACTGCACTATCTAAAGAAAGTGATGCAGTAAATATAGTTATAGGAAGAGTGGCCTCTGTTATAAGCTCCTCCCACAGAAATAAATAGTTGATTCAAACTATTACTAATCAGACCAATTGATGGCAGAATCATCAGATTTTTTTAAGAGAAAAAACCTAATATCATATCAGTATAGCACTTGACTATACATTTCATGGTGACCAGTTAAGAATTGTTACAATTTGGCTGGGAAATGGTTCACTCAGCAGATATTTTACCTGCAAATTATGTCCAGTCTTTATAAAAAAATTTTAAGGAAAAAAAGATTAAATTTCCTGGAATACTCCATATAGCACAGAAACAGTTTTTTGCTGAGTAAAATAAAAAAGTTCTGGAAGGATGAAATTATAAAGTTGCCTGAAAGATGGCAGAAGATTTGTTTTAATTGCAGTAAAACAGGCAACAAGAATAGTGACTTTTAGGCCTGAATGTTGTTTGTTTAGTTGACTACATACACACTTTGGTCATGTTTTTTGATAATCTTTTTCTTTAATTCAATGCACATCATCTGCTCCTTTTTCTCAGCACTGTCCTTTATATGCACTTTCTTTGTACACATGGTTGCAAAAACAAAGTTTTGCAAAATAAAAGCAAGCACAAATATGAGCATAACGCAGATAGGCAGATGTTGTGGTGTTCACTGTGGCGTTCGCTGCACTAATGAGTGGTGGGGTGTCTGAAGCTAGCTCATAACCCAAATTTTAGCTCTCAACTCAAAGCAAAAATCGTTTGAGAGATTGGGACACTCGTAAGTCAAGGTACCAATGTATAATAAAAATGACTATTTTTTAAAGGATTTCTCTCAATTCCTAAAACCTGTTTGAAGAAGATAAAAATTATAATTAACTGTTTTTCACAAATTTTTCTTCAAGTTTGCAAATGCTTCATCTGATAAGATATTTTTTCCACTTGTCTCCCACTTAAATGCTATAAAAATAGCTGATCTATCAACTGAAATCTTTCTTTTCTTACCCTCTTGCATAGTGACTATCAGCATACAGAGTTCAAATTCTGGTTGAGTTCTTTGCATTCACTTTCTCACAAATATCCTTGAGAAAGGTATGAAGCCATCACTTCCAAGGTAGACTCAGATCTCTATCTTTGACTAGCAACCTGTCAAGTAGAAGAGCAACTTTGAATTCAAAACCAGTTGGGCATGTGGCTGGCAATTCCACTCCATAAAATCCTAGTTACTATGGAAACCACTGCAGCAACATCTTGCATGGTGGGACTACCTCTATATAGGGGAATCTAATTGTACAAAAATCAATCATTTAATGTTGAGTTGATGTAGGATTTTTCAATTACATATCTCAATAATTTGATAACTTGTGCTATTTTAATTTATTTTAATATTTACTTTTTTTTTTTTCTTTTTTTTTTATCAGAAATTTAAAATATTTTTCAATGTCTATTTTAATAAAAATCTCATCTGAGAGCAGCTTTCCTACTAGCTTTTCTGCTGTTGAGGAGGGTGGTATGTCACCCCCACAGGACAAAAACAAGACCTGTGAAAGGGCTGATGAGCTTCTTATAGGAACCAATGGCCAACATGTATAAGGCCAGAATGAAGTCTCAAGTCTTGAATGGCAACCTTCCTAGAGATCGTTTCTTGATAAAACACTGGGTGTATTTGGGCTACCATGAGTGTTTGAGTTAGGCATCAAAAGAGCATGTGGCCTTATAAAACTTGCTTCAAATCATTATGACAAGAGATTATCTGTCAGGCAAGACCCACCTTGCTTTGTGTGAGATTAATCCAAGTCTTTCCTCAACAAAACAACAGGTCTATGATGATCTGACAAATAAATTTTGTCTTTTGCATTGTACTGATGATGATGATAATAATAATAATAGAAAAGATAAATGTCTGAAAGCAAATAAGTTAATGTTATGATGTTGATTTGGGGTTAGTAGAGACAAACGCCAAATAACACGTAACAATAAAAAGGGTTTTAATAAGTTGGTAAATGGGTACAGAATCGCCTGAGTAGTCAAATAACTAGCTCAACTAAGAACTTCTCCGACTCTCTATCTTTTGACATGCCACTATTTAACGTCTTTGCTCGCAGACAAGTTCATCTTCAAGAGGGGTGGTAGGTTTCTGACACAACACCTCCCCCTTGAGATTAATTCCGGAGGAATTAATATCTTTTCCTTTTGGGATCTGGACTTAAATGTTCCACCCTAGTTCTTTTTCTTTTGCTTGTCCTTCTTTGGACAACTGTTTCAGGCAATGGTGGAGTTGGTATATCAAATAAATCATATAATACCTCCATTGGTTCTTCATTTTCTTTACTTATTTCTTCAATGATTCTTTTTCTTAATTGGTACAAATGTCTTTTTTGTAAAGGTCCATTTTTTTACTTCTTATCATGTACAACATTTTACCAATTCTTTGCGTTACCATTCCATCTTGCCAAAATTCCTTCCCATATTTGTAATTTAAAAAAAAAAAACTTATCTCCCGCCTGAAATATTTCATATTTTCCCTGATGCGTTTTGTTCTGGTAACTCTTTTTTTCTTTCCGGCAGCAGCCTATTGAACACAGATCTAATTTTTCTAGCAAACATCAGTTCAGCTGGAGACATCCCTGATATTGCATTTGGATTTGGTGTTATTCTGTATATACTTAAAAACTGCTGTATATTACCATCATCTGTATTAGTACTATTTGTTTTTTTAAGGGCTCTCTTGAACGTATCAACAAACCGTTCAGCCTGTCCATTTGACCTAGGATGGTACGGTGAAGTCAGGCCACTTGGAATAGCTATCCACAACTATCAAGTAAAAATTACCATTCATGGGTCCAGCATAATCTATGTGGAGTCTGGTCCATGGAACATCTGTTTTTGGCCATGGTGTGTATTTTACTGGCGGTGCTTTCGCTGCCATTTGACACCCTCTACAAGTTTTAACTACCAGTTCAATGTCTTTGTCCATATTTGGCCAATAAACGTAACTCCTCATCAGGGCTTTCATATGTCCAATACCAGGATGCCCCTGATGAAATTCCTTCAACATCCGCTTTTGTAGTACAACCGGTATCACGACCCTTCCAGCATATAACAGCACTTCATCACATATTGAATATGCTGGTGAAGAAGTTTTATACTTTCCTGAAGTTACAACTTCTTTCATTTTTCTAATAAAAATGTCTTTTTCTGCTTTTAATTTTATTTCATCTAATGTCACCGGTAATTCTTTCACTGTTATACATTACTTCCACCAATTCATTTTCTGCTTGTAACGACGCTATCACCGTATCTTCTAGCGGTTCCGAAGACGTTGGGATCAGCCTAGATAAACCATCAGCATGGCTTAAATTTTTCGATGATAAAAATTCCATTTTAAAATTGTAATTCAACAAAATGGTTCCCCATCGTTGCAAACGGTTTGCCGTATGAGTAGGTATACCCTTCTTCGAACCATAGATTGAAAGCAGCGGACGATGGTCGGTCTGCAATATAAACCTTCTTCCATGTATGTACTTATGGAATTTTTTACAAGCATAGATGATAGCTAAGCTTTCTTTCTCAATTTGAGAGTACTTCTTTTCTCGGGTAATAATGTCCTTGATGCATGTGCCACTGGCTTCAGATTGCTGTCTCTGAATTCATGCAGAATTACCGCACCTATTCCGTACTAAACTTATGTCCGATGCCACTATAATTTCCTGTTTAGGGTCATAATGTGTTAGTGATAACTCCGACATCAAAATATTCTTTATTTTGTCAAACGCCTTCTGACACACTTCTGACCATTCCCACTTTGCTCCCTTTTTTAGCAATTTATTTAATGGAGCCATAAGGCTGCACAAATTAGGAATATATATCCCATAATAGTTAGCAAGTCCTAAGAACGCTTGTGCGTTACTACATTTTTGGGAGATGGCATGCTTTTTGATCGCTTCTGCCCTCGCCGGCTCTGGTCTTCTTCCATCAGAGTCTATTATCTGCCCCCAAAACTTAATTTCACTTATAAAAAATTCACATTTTTCAGCTGCAAGTTTGAATCCATATTCTTAAATTTTTTCAAAAACCTGATTAATATGTTCCAAATGTTCATTTCGATCTTTACTTTTTATCAAAATATCATCAAGATATGCAATGGCGAAGCCCAACCCTGCCAGCGCAGTGTCCATAATTTGCTGAAAAATACTAGGGGATACTTTTAAACCAAAAGGCAAATGGTTAAATTTGTATAAACCCTTGTGTGTAAGCAAATATATGGATATAGATCCGACAATATGAAGAAAAATATATACGGTAAAAACAAACAAAAATCCTTATATACAATTATAAACAACATTAAAACAGCATAATTGTATATAAGGATTTTTGTTTGTTTTTTCCATATATATTTTTCTTCAAGCCCTTGTGTGTATTGATAGTCAACAATTTAGAACATTCTTCGTCCACTTTCACTTGGAGATAGGCATCCGATAAATCCAATTTAGAGAATATTTTTCCTCCACTTAAACTTGCAAAAATGTCTTCTGGTGAAGGCAAAGGATATGTGTGGTCCTTTAAGCAATCATTTAGACCCGTAGAGAAATCGGCACACATCTGAATTTTATTATTTTTTTTCTTAACATATACAACAGGGCAGGCCCACTCTGAAAATTCAATGCGTGAAATAACTCCTAAATTTTCAAGCCGTTCCAATTCTTTGTTAATCTGTTCCAAAACACCAAATGGTACATTTCTTTTTTGCTTGAAAATAGGTTTTACGTTTTCCTTCACTTCAAATTTTGCCTTCGTCTTTTTGCAACATCCAAGACCTTCTGAAAATACTTGCGGAAATTTTATTTTCAGATCTTTCACCAAATTTTCTGTAACCTGATTTTTACACTGAGAAGAAACATTAATTCTATTGCAAAAAGAATTTATAGGGAGTTCCCATAAATTAAAAAGTATAATCCAATTTGTTCCAAACAAATTTGAAGCATTTTGTAACACATACACTTTAGACTTTAGTGTCTTACCAACAAATGAAATATTACAAGAAAATTCACCTTGAAAATGCAATTTTCTTCCAGAAATCCCGCGAGCCACTTTTTCAGTCTTTTTAAGCAAAGGTCTGCCTATTTTAATCCATGTTGCTGTATTAATAATGGAAATATCACTTCCAGTGTCTAGCTGTAGTTTAACATTTTTTTCATTAATTTTTACCTGTACGAATTTTCTTTTCTGCCCCTCCTCAATCTCCTGACGTGACAATACAATATTCACATCTTTTTTCGACTTAAATTTTTTTCTTTTGCTTTTACAATGAGTACTTATATGGCCTTTATTGCAAACACAAATAGCAATTTTTGTCGCGAAAAAAAATTCACTTTTAAAATGACGACCACCGCATCCAAAGCACGTTGGTTTCTTAATGTTTTTATTAACTATTCCCTTTTTTGGTCAAATAGCATGGATACGGGATACGTCTTTTTCTTCAATTTGCGTATTGTCATGTTTTAAGTTTTCAATTCTTTGACACTCTTCCGTAACCTTCTGCAAAGTAATCTCGGAATTTTGTTTGAGTTTTGCCAATATTCGGGACCTTATGTCCTTATCTTTGCTAGAAGTCAAGCCTTGAACGAATATCAAACATTTAAATCAATCAATTGAAAAATCATGTAACATAAAACGTTCACACATTCTGTTAACATTTCCAGCATATGTAACATCCTCATCATCACGCTTTACCATATTCAAACACGAGAAACGAGTATGAAACAAACTAACTCGCTCGCCAAAAATACTAGATAAAGTATTAACAGTTTCTTCGAAAGAAATGTCAGCAGTTTTTCTTGGAAGGACAAAATTCTTATACTTATTATTTTCATCTGTACCCAACTTTTGTAAAAGTAAACTCACTTTTTGTTCATCAGTCCAACCTTCACATTTTTTTCAAATATTGTTTCAAATCTTCTGAAATACGCAGGAAATGTTATGCCCTCCTCTGGGTTAAATTTGAACTCAGTAATAGAATTAGCAATACCTTTGGCCGTGAATGACGAATTTACTGGATTCTTAAGTAAAATCGCTTCAAATAAAGCCTTTGTGTCATTTCGCTGCTGAACTTGTAAATCCAATAGTTGTTCCCAAAATACTTTTTGTTGCTCTTGTTGCTGAATTTGACTTTGCACTAGAGTTTTCATTAATGCAATCAAATCTTCCATTATGCGTAATAAATTACACAAAACACTTTTCGAAAACAGACAAAAAGGGAAAAAACACGTATATATCCACAATAAGCACAAGTCTTACTTCTTTTTGGCACGTTGAAATCCCAATTCTTCGTGAAGAACAAAGTTTCGACGTTTTTTTTTTTTTTCAGAGCGAGAAAAAAAAATTTATATAGTCCACCTAGAGTTGAAAAATTCTCCACTCAGCATGATGAACGAATCTCTCGTCGACACTGTTATGATGTTGATTTGGGGTTAGTAGAGACAAACGCCAAATAACACGTAACAATAAAAAGGGTTTTAATAACTTGTTAATAGGTACAGAATCGCCTGAGTAGTCAAATAACTAGCTCAGCTAAGAGTTTCTCCGACTCTGTCTTTTGACATGCCACTATTTAACGTCTTTGCTCGCAGACAAGTTCATCTTCAAGAGGGGTGGTAGGTTTCTGACACAACAGTTAATGACATCAATCTTGTTGAAAAAAAAGAATTAAAAAAGTTCATTTTTCTCTTTTCCTCCTACCTTTTAAAGGTTCTTGGCTGTTGTTGCAACTGTTCTTTTATGGTTTACACAAAGAAGAAACTGAACATCGTGACACTTCACTTGAATTATCTTACAGCAGCCCTTTCATCGTCATCCAGGTCAGAAAACTTTTCTTTCTCTGCTTTGACCAACTTTTCTCTATTTTCAATATTTATTAAACTAGTGTGACCTATGCAAATTCTGTTACATCTTTGCAATTTCTGAAAAGAATAAATACATTATTTCTTTCCATGTAATGTGAACTTCCTTTTCTAGAAACTATTCTAAAAAATCATTCTTTTTCATTGGTAACACCTAAACACACTTGCCTCCTGATGACTAGGATTTACATTATTATAAGTGATTAAATAAAGATTGCAAACTAGAATAATGTTAAAATTAAAAAAGAAAATATGTAGATGTCTGGATTATATATAAATTAATTATATAATACCAAATTGTAATTGGTAGGAATTATTCCGAAGAGGACTTTTAGCCCATATGAGAGCTCAATGTATGATAAAAAGCAAATTTTAATAATAATAATTAGGAAAAAAAACCGTAAAAATCCATATTTGGTTATAAATTTATTTTGATGACTTATTTATCAAAATAAAGTTATTACTGGATATGAATTTTTAAGTTTTTTTTCTTAATTATTATTATTATTATATTTTCCATATCAACTCAACTAATGGGGCACCCTCTCAGATTTTTATGATATTTTAGTATATGGTACCCACCTATGAGAAACCAAAAAAAACTAAAAGCTTCCTTAAGCTGTAATTTCAGTAATTATGACATCTGGAAATTTGCTGACAATTTTTGATGATTTCAAAATAGCATGATTTCCCAGGTTTGCTGTTTCTTAACTGTTGTGATGTCCAAGTTTAGCACTAGTCAGTCGCTCAGCTTGTATTCTTTTTTTCCGTTATTCTCAGTGACCAGTTATATAATCTTTCTCTTGCACTTATGCAAATTATGCATATTAATTTGCCAGTATCATTACATCTCCCTGAAACATATAGGTTTTATACCTCTAGTAGTTCTTGTACTTCTTCTCGTGATAGTTTCATTACTTTGCTCTACTTCTCTCTCTCCCATATTTCTTTTTCTGGGAGACCTAGATCTGTCCCGCGCTTCTTCTTGCATTATTTGATCTTTGTCTGAACTTTCAAACTCATTCTGGCCGACTTGATCCTGCATTATTTCGTCTTCTGATGTTTCATTCTGTAACGGTCATTATAAAAATAAATCATTAACGGATGGAATTGTAGATATTTCCTCATCATTTTGCTCTTCATATTCACCCTGGGTCCTTATTTGATCTGCATGGGCTAATACACTGTTGCCGTTTTCTCTATTTGTTATAGCTGTATTGTGGCCTTTTTGCATGATAAATTCTGCCCTTTCCGGATTTGCTTCTTTGTTCTTTTTGTACCACATTTTTTCATTTGTGGAATATGACATCGTTAGCAGAGCTCTAATTTGCCTTCCCATTAAAGCTGATGGGCTTTTTAGTCTTCCAGCATGTGGTATTGTGCGATAGCTTAAAAACAGCCTAGGTAGAAAAATTTCTACTCTTTCTTTTTGCTGAGAACATACTTTTAGTCCTGTTTTTACAGTCTGCACCATTCTTTCCGCTAACCCGTTCGACTGAGGGTGATATGGGGGTGTCTTATACGGTTTACATCCTATTTTTTCTAACCATAAATTAAGATCTTCATCACAAAATTCTGGTGCGTTGTCAGATACCAGGGTTTTTGGTATGCTGTTTCTGGAAAATATCACCCTTAGAATCTGTTTTATCATAGAACTTTTCTTGTCTGGCACTCGGATTATTTCAGGCCATCCTGAAAAAGAGTCTACTAGAATTAATAAGAGTCCCACTCCAGTAATATATGCATGATCCATATGCACCTGACTCCATGGTTCCACTTCTCTGGGCCACGAATGTAAAGTAGTCTGTGTAAAGTTTCTTAATTCTTTACATTTTTTTCACCTTTTTACATATTCCTCAACATCTCTTGAATATCCCAGACACCATGCTTCTAATTTTATCCTTTTTTGTGTGGCCACTACTCCACAGGGTATATCATCATGTACACTTTTTATTACCAACTTTCTTTGTGTTTCTGGGGGAACTACCAAATCCCCATTACAAATCACTCCATGTTCTGTCGTTAATTTCTGTCTTATTTCTTTGTAGGGTCTTTCCGCCCTCTTTCACTACTGGCTTCTTTGCCATAATTACTTTTAATTTATCAAAAGCTTTTTGTTGTTTCTCGGACCACGTAAATTCAACATTCTTCTTCCTTAAATTTTCAAACGGTTCAGTCAAGTCCGTGTATTTTGGTAAATATCGCCTGCAAAAATTCACCAATCTCAAAAAAGACTCCAGTTCTTTTTTATTTGTAGGTGTAGCTACTTTTAGTATTTTTCTATCAATGCTTGGTCTGGTGATATACCTTCTTTTGAAATGGAATAACCTAAAAAAGATATTTTACTACAATTGCTTACACATTTTTTCTCATTTATTGTCATTCCAGCATTTCTTAATCTATTCAAGATTATGTCGGTTTTCTTTTTTAATTCCTTTTCATTAGTCTTGGTAACAAATCATATTTTCCATATTTTCTAAAACCTGTTCGATGGCCCTTTGAAATATGGCGCTTGCGGTTTTTATTCCGTATGGCATTCTTTTCCATCTTAGTAACCCTATTGGTGTATTTATCATGGTTATATCTTTGAAGTTATTGTCTATTGGTATTTGGTGGTATGCCGTTTTTAAATCTATTTTTGTAAAAACACTCATTCCTACCAATGCGTGAAATGCAACTTCAACATTCGGAATTGGATATGAATCCAAACAAACTTTGTGATTTACGCCTATTTTGTAATCTCCACAAATACGTAAGTTACCATCTGTCTTCCTCAAAACTACAATGGGTGATGCCCACTTGCTACCCCCAGGGGGAACATGTTCAAGAAGGTCTTGTTCTATTAACTTTCATAGTTTTGTTACTACTAATGGCAACAAATGTACTGGTAATTTTCGTGCCTCATAATAAGAGGGGGAGACATTTTCTTTTAATTTTAAACTTGCTTTATAGTTTTTTAACTTTCCGGTTTTTTCCATTTTTATCTCATTAATTAATTTGGTAGAATTTATGTTAAGCACGTCGTTTCCAAGAAGTCCGTGGTTCTTTTTACAACTTGTGACAATTATAGGTATTACTTCAAATTTATCTTCTAACTCCAAGGAACCTTCAAAGTATCCTAAAGTTTTTATAACTGACCCATCAAATTGGCGGAGTTGTAAACTGCTCTTTCGTAAAGGTGGCTTTCTAATGCATTCCCAAAAATTTTTTTGTATCAGTGTTACTTCACTCCCAGTATCAATTTGCATATCTAAGTTGCAGTTGTTGATTTTAACCTTTAGTATAATGTCTTTTTCCTTTTGATCAATTTTTTCTATATTCTTATTTTTTAATGTGAAGACTTCCATATTGGTTTCGTTTTCTTCAACTCTTTCAACGTTTTTCTTTTTGAATTTGCATACTGCTTGAAAGTGGTTCTTTTTTAAGCAATTTGTACAGGTTTTTCCAAATGCTGGGCATTTTTCCCTTTTTGTTTCATGTTCACGTCCACAATACGAACATTTTCTTATCTTTTTAACATGTACATATCAGCGAATATTTGTTCGCTGGGTTGACTTTTTTGATGGTTGTATTTCTGTATTAATTCTTGTTGCTGGATAAAGACATATTTCTTATTTGTAGTTGTTCCATTATTTTAATCACCAGTATGAATTTTTAGTTAATTTTTACAATACCAAAAAATATGATTTCCAATTATTATAAAGATTTTTGATATAAAAATATCTTTCTATTCAATTTTAGTTTCTTTGATCTATAATGTTTACAGTTTAATCTGATAAAAATCTTTTATATTCTGAGACTGGAAAAAATAACAAACTATCTTTTTGTACTGAAATAATGACTAGAAATTATTTTTTGAATGATTCAAACTAAAATTGGGATTCTACAAGGTTGCTTCAAAATGAATGACTCCTTTTTATTATGTCAGTTTGCAACATTAAATGACAATAGTGATGATAAATCATATTCTGGGTGACCCTGAACAACTGTCAACTCACAAAATGAATAGTGCTTCAGCCTATGATGGTTTTGTCACTGAAAACTTGCACTCTATCTAACAGTGTTATTGTGCTACCTGTAGCTGTTGTTATTCTTGTAGAAATAAATAGGAGGCATTACTTTTGGAACATCCCTCATACTTCAAATAATTAACAGAATTTTAAAAAAATTGTTTTATTTTAGTTTCTACCCATTTGTATCTGACTGGATGTCTATTGAGTATGACCATTTGAATCTATCACTATCTGATATGAGGGGACCACCAGTGGCATCCTATACACATGATGGACAGATTTTGGCCTTGGCAATAAACAGGATTGTCTCAAGCCCAAACAAGATGCTCTTTTTGTCACCTTTCACAAATACTTCTGTCATGTCCAGCATGAAGAACTATGAAGAAGATCGAAGCCAATCCATGCATATAAGGTGAGAGGCTTGTTTATTCTTTTCTCTTCTTATAACAACATTAATGACTAAAAATATTTTTGAAAAGTAATAAAATTTTAATATTCCATTATGCAAATAATATTGTTACTGAGTATGTTGTTAAGGACACATTAACATCAACTTTGCTTTCAACACAAATTTTTACTTTTTGAATCTAAAATATGTTTTGAATGTTGAACTTTGATTACCTTTCAAGGATTTAATAATATGCAAAACAAATACTTACAGGCATTGTATTATTAGGGTTTATATTGTTGATTAGTTTGGGACTTGGGGGCCAAGTAATTATCTCAGTAATTATCCCAGGTAACTAAAGATTATTATTATTAATTTTTTTTTTAAATTAAATATTGATTACCTACAATTTTAGTGGATTATTTTTTTATTCTGTGTGTATGTGTGTGTGTGTGTATAATGCATGCATGCATGCAGACAGACAGACAGCCAACATTAGTGTCATTAAACTCTCCTTTGGAATATAGGACTACAGCTTCAGCATGCTAGGTGTTACTATTATGGTTTTCATAGCAAGTAGGTTTTTATTATGTGGAGTTGCAAACTCTATGCCTTCTCTTAGACTGGTTACCAAGCAAGGCTGAAGTACCCAGTCTGCTCTACTATTTAATTGATTAATTTTAGAACCATCCTTATAATTGAGGTTGATTGTGTGAATAATAAAAAAAACAAAAATTTTTTTTTTTTTTTTTTTTTTTTTTAATAGTACATTGGTTGCTTAGTGAGCTTCTCCTATAAATTGGTAGTTTCATGGCTGGTAGGAATGAGGTATATGGTGTTATCAGGTTGGCTTAATTGACCTCTTTTGTCCATTACCCATTATGACATTCAAGTATTGGAAGCTTTTGCCTAGATATCTGATAGTAGGATACAACACAAGGAAAGTTGAATCCATGCCTTTCCTAAGTACATTAGTATAAAGTGACCATGATCAACCTCAGCCAGAATTAGGAATTGGTGAACCAATTCCAATTTTCAAACTTGATGATATATTAACTTTGTTGAATATTAAGTGTTATTGTCATTATGACTCCGTGTTCAGTTAATTTAGTATATTTAATGCTAAGATACTGTTTTTATTTTTTTATGAACAGCTACTATTGGGTTACTGACATGGCCTGGACTTATGATGATCTGTTTTTAGCCTGTATCCTTCGATCTGGCTCTGTCTGTATAATGCCCCGTCTGGGAGAACCAATTCTTCTACAAACAAGTGGACATTCTGTAGATATAGGACCTGCCTATTTTCTTCCTCTTCACCCAGTCATTACAGTCAGGTAATGTAAACACTTTTGCTTTTGAGCATTTACAATTTCATCTTCAATTATTTAGGGAAAAAACAGTTTTATTTTTAGTAATTTATTTATTCCCCCCCCCTCTGTTTTACTTGTTTGGTTATATTACTTTACGTTTCTCTGATTTTTAGGGATAAAAATATATAACTATAGATTTTCTTCCTAAAACTGATACATATCATAATAGTGTTTCACAGCTGTTTGAGGTTTCCTATAGCCCCACTGAACTTAAATAAAGTCAGTTCAGGTTTCCTATAGTAAAAATTTTCTTTTCCAAGTGAAAATCATCACAAAAATGGCAAAAGTAATTTGTCACGGCTTATTTTCTCTCAAAAAATGGATTTTCATACTTTTATAGGGGGTAAAATATTGAAAAATGACTGTTTTATCATCACCTGAACTAATATCAAGGAAACTTTTGATCTGAACTGCATGAAACTAGGTATTTTCTGAAAGCAAAGGATATATTCTTTCATTTAAAAGTAAAATTAGCTGGTGTAAATGACTCAAAATTTTTTTCAGTGGGTAAAATGTGAAAAAATAGTGAAAATTTTGCAATTTTTCTTGTTCTAAACAAATATTTCCCCCATTAATGGGAAATTAACCATTTTTTTTTTTTTTTTTTTTTTTTTTTGAAAATCAGAAAACCTAAATCATAATGAAACTATTTCAGGCATAAAATTGAGAGTTTTGAAGGAAATCAACATTCCTAGGGGTTGAAAATGTGACAAAATCCATTGTTAATTTTCAATTATATGACTGCCAAGGGTTAAAAAAAAAAATTGACACCGGGCCACGGAAATCTTTAGTAAAAAGCAAGAGATTTATCTGCAATTCCTAACCACCAGAAACCAAAAGTTTTTTTTTTCCCAAAAATAGCGATAAGGAAAATTAAACCTAATTGACTTTGACATCTAGGTCAAAGGTCAGCCAGCCAGCCAGCAATAAATGGCAAACCTTAGAACAAGTTGTAATAAAACCCACCACTCCCAGATAAAAGCAAAGAGTGAAAAAAAAGGGTTCACCATTACTAGGGCTTGATATAACCTATGTTTCAACAATGGCTTGATGAGTTTTGTTTTGTTTTTAACACCCTGTGACCCGGGTGATGACAACAACACTTAGCAGACGACATTGTTTTTTTCGCCGCATATCTTTCGTATTTCCCATCGCCGGTCCATTTAGCCATTCCTTTTATTCAATGATGTTCATGCCAAATGAAAGAGAAAGGAATGAATTTTGAATGATGTTATTTTGAAGTGAAAATAAATATTTTTTCATTAAAAAAAGGGTTTTTTTCTCAGAAAATTGGGCATAATTTCTTAATGCTAACCGCCGAGTGACATTTTCCACAGCCAAATCGAAGAATTGGATCCTATAAAGTCGCCCTAAAAGGTCCAGAAGTTTACTAATTGATCGAAAACCTGTTGCACATAATTGTGTTTTTCACAGTCAGTTTCCATTATTTCATCTTGATATTATCATTTTTGGACAGCCAAGTCATCAAGGATTCAGGAAAACAGTGTGGCATAGGTTTTCTTTAAGAACTTTACATTCTATGAGGTGTTTAAAATGTTACTGACGAATGAGATTTTTTTGCCGAATATTTCATTTACGCGCCATGTTGGATTTTCCTATATGACAAAAACAAGGGTTTTAAACAGCCGTGGTTTACACACTAAAATGTTTAGAAGTATGATTAGAAATTGAACTTATACTTGTCACTACTTGATTCTTTATAATGTATATAATTATATATCAGTGTGCTTGGCTATTATTTTTATGTATGTATGCCTTTCTCCTTTTTTTTTCTGTCAAACATGTACATGCATATTAATTATGGACAGACTCCTAGATTACGGCATTTTGTTTGTGTTTTCATCATGAATGTGCCGTGGTATTTGGGACCCCATGATTAATATACTATTATTTCAGTAGATCACACTTTCTTACTGAATTAGTTATGAAACTAAGTTGAGAGATTTAAATTATTAAAAAAAAACAACAAACTAAGTTGAGATTTAGTTAAAATTTCATTTTTCCAACGATACATTTAAAGTGAAAATATAATGTATAGTTGCTTAATTTAAATCAGGTTTTGTCTCAGTAATGTAGATTTTCTTCTTGTGTAATAACATTCTTTTTCTGATGAAGCTGGCGAAACATGTCATGTTTAAAATGTCTCATCTATTTCCCCTTCTATCAAATTCTTGTTCAACTTTACTCACATAATTTGTATTGTATAAAAATGTCATTTTTAAAAATTTTTTTTTAATCATTTCATCCCAATTTTTTTTCATCTTTACTATCACAGAAACAGTCATAAAAGAAATTACAAGGTTTCCTGAAAGAATTAAAATTGTCCTTGAATTCCACAGTTTTTCTCGAGTTTTTTTTATTGCTGATGATACCTATGAGTCTTTAAATGAAATATTAAACATTCAAATACCTCAGTATATGGATCAGTATATGGCAAATTTAGTATTGGAGATGAGGAAATAAAACATAGAATAGAGACTGCACTATCCAACACCACAAATTGTTACAAAGCCAAAACATTAACCTAACACTTGAGTTATGTTTTTAAATAGCTTCATCTGATCAAGACTTTCATATGAATGTCACCAAGCTCATTCAGAAATATCTAAACTGTCAGCTGTATAAAACTACTTTCTCAGATCAATGATTAAAAATAACTTTGAGTGAATGAAACCTGTAGATTTTAGCAAGGTTCATCCTTCTTTGAATCTTCAAAACTGGTGTTATAGAATCACAAACACCTGTACCAAATAACTGAAATCATATAATATAATGACACCTTTAAATTTGGCAGTCCATAGGATACAACCTAATACAGCCACATAACAGAGCCAGTGCTTCCTGGAAGGTTTCACCTAGGCTGCTGGATACAGAACTAAGTGGGGTGCAAGAAATGAAGTAAATTTTCCAAAAGGAAAAAATATGTTTGTCTTCTGTATCTTTGGTTTATGATTCATAAAATTTTGTATTGAAATATAGAGTAAAAGTTTCACTTTTATATAGATCTTTTTCTCTTCATTTTTTTTCTGTATGGATTAAGCACATACTATGATAATTTCTTTTTGCTTTTCTTAACTGGCTGAAGATCATGTCATAGTGTGAAACTTAAAGTCTAGGTGAAATTTTTGTCTTTGACATTTTTATCTTGAATTACAATTGTATTCTTGGTTGGTTAAGTTGAAGTAGGTTCTTTAATGGTTCTTATTTTTATATTTTTTTCTTTTTCTCTGATAATTTATATATATATATATATATATATATATATATATATATATATATATATAATTTATTTTAAATCTGATATTTTTATTACTTCAAAAGTTATTTCTAGTGGATACCCATATTTGAAATAGACACCCCATTTTTATTTTAAATAGTGTGCCTTATATCTATTGGCTTATTGCACACTTGGAAAATCTTAAAGAAAAATGTGCTCTTCAGCGGGGTTTGGACCACCATTCATCTTTGTAGGAGAAACCACCATTTGATCTGGTGTGCCTTAGACTGCTTGGCCACAGAGAGTGAATGAACCTTGTTGGGCTGTTCATTCTCTGTTGCTGTGCTGTTTAAAATAAAAATGGAACATCTATTTCAAATACGTGTATCCACTAACAATAACATTTGAAGTAATAAAAATATATAGTTCTGATCTCAAAGATTGATGATTATTTTTAAAGCTCCAAGAAAATAACATTTTAAAGGATAAACATAAATAATACTTAAATGTAATATATGCTTAGAATTAACTAAGATCCAGTTTATCTTATATGTGTATACATACATATATAGAGGTATAATAAGCCAATGGAAGACAAAATAAAGAAAATAATATTTATTGTATAATATCAGGCCAATAGACAAAGTATAAGCATGATGAGAAAAATGCTAAAAAAGGCAATTTTCAGATATGCTTGTGTCCTTTCTCAATGAAAAATAAAATAAAATTTTTTTTTCCTTTCTTAAGTTTTAATATACAATAAATTTTTTTTCCTTAATTTTTTTCATCAGCCTAATATATTTACATTCTGTAAGAAGCATATGTGGACTCTCTTATGATGACGTCCTCTACTTGTCTGTTGTTCACTGCACCTGTGAGAATATCTAAGGTTGACTGTGTCTGCATATACACCTGACTAGCTATGTGCAAAGATTTGTTCACTTGGCCCTAATCAAATTCACAAAGAATAGTGGTAATCGCTTTTCAAGACTCTCTGGTTGGCAAATAGTAACAATACAAATTCTCACTTAGCTGGCTGTTTTTCTTCGATTGAACTGTTATCTCCCTAACGTCTGCTGGTCCCTTCCTCCCTGACCACTGGGCAGCTACTCACTGGTCACCTACCTACTTCTCTGACTGCTGGTCCCTTTTCTCCTGGAGTTCCTGCTTCTCTCTGCTTATATGGATAATGGCTGGGGTACCACTGCCCCTATCCATCCCTTTGTGTTCTGGAACTAGAGACCACCCTTTGGCTTTTTGGGTGGTCAGCTTCTTCAAAGGACTACTTTTATGATTATCTGAAATTATTAACAACATTTTATGTTTGCCAACTCAATAGCAGCTGGAGACAGAATTCCTGAAAACGCTGGCACTTATGTTGAGTCAAAGATGGACTGGAGATGAATTTCCTAAGAAACTCAGATAACTAAGTGGACTTAAAAGGAATTTATCTACATATCTTCTAAGGATGTGTGAGAAATCATGTTGTTACACTCTACTATCAATATACATACACACACACACACACATATATATATATAACTTGTATGTATCTACACATATTCATCTTATCTACTTTTCAGTATTACAGAATATTAATAAGATAACTTTTTCAAGTCCTCTTGGTTGGTCACCTTCAGTCAAATGGATTCAGGACATAATATTTTTCTATGTCAATTTTTAGGCAAAAATCAAATGACAGTTTCTTCTGAACTTTTTTCTTTTCATTACATCCTTTTTTAAAGCAATAAAATTTCAGTAAAATATTACACTACAATAGTATCCTATTACCTTTTATTTTCTATTTTATAATAGTGAAATCACCAACCCACCAACCGGAGCAAATTCTCTAAATATGCAGAAATTCTCTGTCAGTTCTCACCCACAACTTCCAGTCATTATAGTCAGTGATGGTTTCCTTGTTACTGTCCTAAAGATCTCACATAACCTGACTTGCTCTAATTTGATTTGTAATGTTGTACACAAATCCAGCAAACAATTGTCTGTCCTTAGCAGAGAGTACAGTCTGGATCTTTCACAGGCCACAGCTTCTCAGACTCAACTAAATCATGAATATGAAGCCAACAGAGAGGCTGACCGTACTACCCAGTGGCCATTTAAGTTTGAAAACCCTAGATCTTCTCTTTGTTCTCAAGATGGTGAACTAAGTCCTGCTGAAAATGATACTACATTGAAAAATATCGGAGATGGAAAGATTGTGTTTGGCATTGTCCATTCTAAAAATGCTGACCCTGTACTTGATTGTAATAGACAAAGAACTAACCCAGAAATACTCAAGAGTGCTTATTCAAATTTGCTACTGGCATGGAAGCTGCAAGTGACATCTGGCTGCATATGGAGCTCAGCTAAAGAAAGAGCTGTCAAGCAGACTTTGCAGAACATGACCAAGTTGTTCACCATTCTTTTGGACGTTCCAGAAATGTCTGAATGTTTTGATAATCAGCAGAATCCTGGAAAGTCTGGTCTTTTCTGCTTGATCCGGATTTTCAAGGAGTTTCTTGATCTTCTTCGTTTTGATTTTCTTTTCCAAAGGTTTGTCAGCATTATTGCCACTTTTGTCCATAAAACAATCAAGTTGATTCTTTGTAGTGAGAAACTTGCACAATTTGATCCTCCTCTCAAAACCTTACTTGGCTGTGAAGCTTTACTGCAGTTCAGCACTCAGAGTATGAAGAAAGTGTATACTTGGTCACCAAAATACTTCCCATCAGCAGCAGATATCGATGTGGAGCCTGAGTCAGAAGACAATAGCTGGTATGAACCAATGAAGAAAAATGAAGAAAGGTCTGATGTGGAGAAAAGAAATTCTTTCAGGGATAATTTTTCCATACAGGACATATTCTGTCTTCACGAGTAAGTTGTTTTCTTTATTATTTTATTATTATTTTTTTTTTTTGAATGTTAACTAGCATTGTCCACATTAAAACTTCTTTTATTATGCAAATCAGTATGTTCACAATAAAATTGGTATTATCCAATCAATATTGCTAAAATCTATCCTTATTAAAAAGAATATATTAATAATAACTTATTTCAAAAGTGTCTAGTTTCATTATGCGACCGAAGTGCAGCATAATTTTTTATTTATTTATAAATAAATCCAAAAGCTATATGCTATAGAAGCATAACATTACCATAATATCCCATATACTTGAATAAATTATTTTAGATATTAATATGAGCTCCTTGACCTTATATAAACTTCATTAATACTTCAATCATTGATTTTGCCTTTTTTACATTACAACTCAGTTTCAGTTTTCTTTTTATAATTGGCTTGTCTGGAAAAAATTTGTGCATTTGTCAAAATGTAGTGATTTAGAATGAGTTTGTTACTTATGGGATGCTTCATCCGGCCTTGTGTCAGTGTTGGCTTAGTCATCCAATAAATATTGACATTTTAAAAAAACTCCAGGCCATTCTTTACTGTGTGAATCTCAAAAGCAACATTACAATAGAAATCATTTGTCGGGCAGTTTACTTTTCTCAGTGTTTTATTAAACATAGTACATATGCTAACAGACTATTATAATGCTTAAACAGTAAGGTGATCTGTTGTGGCTTAGAATGTTCATTTTTTGCACAAATCCAAGTTTTTTCAGTTTCAGGAAATTTATGCAGATCAACTTTAATTTCTTCACTTATCTACATTTCAGTCTTCTCATTCGAAACCAATCATTTGCAAACAAATCTTTGTACAACATTTACTTTAAAATTGTTCCTTTAATTTTGTGCCCTTAAAATTACAGGAACAGATAGAAATATTAATTTTGAACTAGGTACCTCTACTAATTTTCGATACCTTGGTTTAAAATGAATTTTCATAAATGAAAAAGCTTTCTTGAAGCTTTCATTTTAGATTTAATTGAAAACTAAAGGATTAAATTTACTATTTCCAGTAAGCAAAATACTTTGGTGTATTTCAAACAGAAATTATATTGATTCGAATTGATTTTTTTTGTATTTTTTTAAAATAGCTGATTAGCACCCTTTCTTTAGGTTGTCTTAGTCATCTTTCATTGCTGTGTATTTCTCTATATTAAAAAATCTTCCAAAAATAAAATATACTTTCTAAAGCTTTATTTGAGGAATATTAGCTGATTTAAAGTATAATTAATCTTATTTACTTTAAATTTAAACTAACAGCGAAATAAATTTTTTAAACAGTAGCCATGATTACATACTTGTTATCACTTGTCAATCATGTAACAAGTGCTGATAAAGGTGTTGACTAAGTTATTGTTGTTCTATGGAGACTTTATCTGTTAAGACATAATTTAAGAAAATGATGGGTGAATGCTTTTTTATATAATTTTTAAGTACTCAGTAATCTTAAAAATGTTGGAAATATTCTCCATAATCTAATTTTGGGAATGTTGACTTTAAATTTACTATAGTCATCACTCTTATTTTCTGATAATGTTGTGTATGGTCAGCCATACTTTCAAAAACGGGTATGTTACATAATATTTTATGGTATCAAATGACAATTGGAAAAAAATCTTACATTTTGCCGACGCATTTCGTCTTCCGACTTTTTCAAGGCAAAAATGAAATCGAAATGTTTTTGTTGTTATAGTTACATTAAAATTCAAAATTAAAAAGATAGACGCTTGTGTCTAAGCCTTTTTTCTGGTTAATGTAAATTACTTTTATAGTAAGGGATTATTATTTTTTTTTTTTAATGTAACTATAACAACAAAAACATTTCGATTTCATTTTTGCCTTGAAAAAGTCGGAAGACGAAACGCATCGGCAAAATGTAAGATTTTTTTCCAATTGTCATTTGATACCAATCTGTCTTGTCCACAGAATTCATCTGGGAATTTAACTATAATATTTTATATACATAAAAAAAAATCATTTTAAAAATCTTGGTGCAAAATGATTTGTATTAAACTTTTCAATTTTTGATGAGGAAATACAGTTTTCACTTAATAACAATATCAGCTAACCGGATAAAAGTAATGTAGAATTTTAAAAGGTTATTAGAATTAAAATTTAAAAAAAATGGAAACAATTCTTTGTAAAAATTCATTATTCATTGAAAAAATGTTTTTCTTAAGACAGTAGTGTCCTTAATATATCTTATTTATAAAAGCAATTAAACGTCATAGTTTTATTACATTTTTTTTATTTTATGATTTGGAGCAGATTTCTGGGAAATGAGTAGTAGTTTAAAAAAAAAAATTGATTTACATTCTCCAAGGAGTCCTGCTTGTAACTAATAAAAAAAAAAAAAAATTCGGATGAAAATATAATTTCTCAAAATTTCAAGAAATTAAATGTCTGTGTGTATGGGGGGGGGGGACATGTAAAAAAAAAAAATATTTTTACCAAGATTTTCTAAAAAAAAATTTTAAAAATAGTTTAATTCATTTGTGAATAAGTCCTGAAGTGTCATTAAAATCTGATAATTTTTGCAAGAATTTCCAAATCAATTTGTTTTTCAGCTGAAAAAAAGGTGCTGAAACACTGTAAATATTACATTGAGATTTTAAACCCAAACTTTGAAGGTGCTAGAAGGGATTAAAAAATTTAATAAAATAATAGAAAAATACTTTGGGCTTCCTTCTTAACAACAACAAACATTTTGACAATAAAATTTTGTTTTTATTAAGTTTGAGGCATTTTCATTCAGGTACCTATTTCAAACATTTTCCAAAATTAAAAAATACCATAGGCCATTTTTTTTTTTTTTTTTTTTTTTTTTTTAGAGTTGCTTCAGAAATTTATAGTCTTTGTTGATTATGTTATATGATCTTTTTATGATCTGTTGATAATTAAAACATACATTTTTAATGTTGTTGTGTTCATTGTTTATATAAAATTTGATTCTTTAGAAAGCTGATTCAGGGTCTATTAAGCATTTGACACCTATTTTTCTATGGTATTCTTTCTAACTTGCAAATGTATATTAATAAATAAAATTTGGTTTTTATTTTATCCATTTCCACATGGAGTTACCATGAAATATTTGATGTCTGATCTGAAGTCAGACATAATCAAACTTCTTTGACATTGTGAATTTACTATGTGAAAAGTTAATTACAATATTTTTTTTCTGAAACAGGCACACAGTGTTCCAGGTAATTGAGAACAAATTATAAAGGAAATCCGAGATATTCAATTGAAAACAAAAATCAGTATATTTTCTTTAAAAAAAAATTGTACACCTGTTCAAAAAAAAAATAGGAAAAGATTATTCAATAAAACTACCTTGACAGCTTCAATGTGGCATTTCCAGATAAGGTGGTTCTTGTTTGGCCATTGATATCCACAATGGTGTCCTTTGATGAGACCTTGGTATTGTGAGGTCACTGGTTGGGGGTTCTCTCTTGACATCACTCTAGACATAGTAGTCTAGTGGCTTTGAACCAGTTGAGCTTGGATGTCACATATTGCAGGTGGTGGGAACATGATCATGAAAATTCTCAGCTCCTGAGTGATATAGGCCATTTAAAAAAGAGCAGTCTTGCTGAAACATACACTTCTAATTCCTTGATCCAGAGTTCGACTACCATGTCCAGCACCTTCATGTGAATGGTGACATTGCCCCCTGAGGATCTGATATTAGAGCCTCATTGCTGTGAAGTTGGTGTGCATCACTATGTGTATTCTCATAAAGTCGGTGCAGAACCAACTATCATTCTCTCTTTGGCACATTCTCTGTAACATTGTTAAATCATTTTCCATTTGTGCCCTGCTAAATATTTGTTCTCAAATAGTTAATGCACTGTTTTGTTTGGTTTGGTGTGTTCTACAGCATATCAACACCTCAATGGGTTATTTTACAGATCAAAACATCTATCAGAGAGATGAAATTAAAATTTTTATTGCATCATTCCAAAGTTTTAGCATATCAGCAGATAGCTATTAATGTCAACAACTGAGCAGAAATAGTTATTAATTAAAAAAATAGTAATTAACCTATAATATTATCCATAACTACATATACAAGACTGTTGTTTTTGATAAAAGTTAAAAAATAACCATAAATATGTAAAAAAATGCATATATTGCCAAAAATTCCTTTTCCCACAATATAGCTGTTTGTGCTATATTATAATGCTTATTACCTAAATAATACTGAATAAATTTTTTTAAACATTAAAGTATATTTAATCACATCTCCCTAATAGCTGTTGTGATCTGTTAATGCTGACAAGATTTTTAGGATATATTCCTATGAATAGAATATGTATTCTTTGTAAAAAAACAAAAAAAATCAGTTAGTAGCTCAGCTTTCATTGACATAGTTTTGTAAAGAGGGTTTTTAAGTGTTTTTTCTTCAAAAATGCATTGCTGGTAATTTTTTTTTTTTAATGTTGGTATAAAAATCTACTTTTATACTTTCAAAGTGTTTTGACCTCTTTTGGGGAGTTTAACTATTTGTCCATAGCTAAGACCCTAACAGGTGCTACTACCTCGGGTCAGGATGGACCTGAGAACAACAGCAATTAAGAGGTGCTTCCACACTCCTCGAAATCCTCCAACATCTTGATCAGAGGCCTTGCTGCTGAATGTAGTTTATCATCATACCCAGGACATCCCATTTCATCCCTCTGCAGAGTTGCAATTGGCATATTCTGAAACCCCAGCTGACAGGACTGTTAATGCACTATGTGTGTACATATATATATTTCTAAAGAAAGGGATGGATTTTTTATTTATTAATCTGTCAGATTTTGTTACTTAAACATTAGTTTTTTAGTGTCTACTCAAATTTGAGTAGACACTCTGTTTATTTATTAAACAGTGTATTTATTTATTTTTATCTACCAGCCTGAATATTTGAGAAATCTTATTAGAGAAAAATATGTGCTCTCTGGAAGTATTTGCACCTGTGTTCCCCTAGGGAAAACTGTCATTAGATCTAATTTGCTTTGGAAGTCTTAACCATGTAGTGCGTCAATGGTCAAGCAAAGTTGAATAGTGCTTTTAAACACAGATTTTTCTCTGATTCTCAAAATAATGAATATTCAAACCAGTAGATGAAAATTATTAAATATACTGTTTAATAGGTAAAAAGAGTGTCTACTCAAATACGAGTATCCATTAAGAAAACAAAACAAAAAATATTTAAATATATATATATATATATATATATATATATATATATAAAATGCATGTTTCATTAAATAATATAGACAAGTTTTGTCTATTTATTTTAAGTAAGTTCCTTTCATATTGTCTGATAACTTAATCACATTATCATTGAAAGACAAAAGGAAAACACCATATTGATACATATTTAAATCCAATCTAAGCTTTCGGCTTACATAAGCAATTATCAAAGATGACAATTTCAATAAATCACACATGGATGAAACAACAATGATAGTCCGCCCTTGCTGCATGAAAAATTTCAAAGTAACAACAAACTCATATATACGAGACATGAAAGCAAAAATAGTGTCACAGCTTGTGATGTCACACATGACCACATGAGAGTGAAAAACGAGAAGTATTAAGTATGGGAAGCTCTTGGTATAAACCAATGGCTTCTGTTATAAATTATAGGCATTTAAGGATATTTGTGGAGATTTCATAGTTTATTTTGTTCAGGTTAGGTCTCAACTGTTTTATGCATAAGGCTTCAAGAATTTTTAATTTTTGTTTATTGTTTTCATGTTTAAGTATAGTTGGGTTGTCAACAAGGATTTTCCGGAATTGAGTACATGGGCAGGCATGTTGTTCTAAATGTCTAAAAAAAGTTAGTTATCATTTAAATGTAGAGTCAAGCGATAACGATGAAAAATTGCTGCCTAAATATATACACACACACACACACACACACATATATGTAATAGTCAGGTCACTGTATGAGTGCTGCTGGTACTAAGTAACCTAGTACTACTTATTGTGTGGTTAGGTTATAGGTAACTAAACTGGTTCCCCTACCAGGCTTTTCTGGTGAGGAGATGTATAGACACTGATTAGGATTAAATACAAAATCTGTCAAAGGGTAAATGAATCCTTTCATAGGGTGAACAGCCAACTAGCACAGGTGTGGAGATGTCATTTCTTCTTTCCTTAGTTCGTTTCTATGTGTGGTGTATGCCCAGTGGGACTGATCCTCTTTAAGCCTTCATTAAGGTATCCAACGAAAAGAAGAAAAAGTGATGTAACATTTACATCTTCACAGCATCCTATGATGCTGACTGAGTCTTCATTTTGGTTACATGCAGTTTGTGCTTAGAGAGTTGAATTGAGCCAGTACAATGTCTTTCTCTAATTTAAAACTTTCATGCGCAGGCATTGCTTGATATTGTAAGTCACAATTGAGTCTTGCATTGATATCTTGTGATGATCATATCTGACAACAATGTGACTGCCATCCTATACACATATATATGTGTGGGTGCATGTACGTCTATTGTTTTATTTATTTTTTAATTCATGTGACTTCATATAATCAGGATAATTATCTTTTGAAGGTTGCTTCCTACTTGGCGTCTGCTGATGAAACATGCAAAGATGAAAGCAGCAGAAATTCGTAACATCAGCAATGGAACAGATGAGGGTCTCCATGACTCTGAGGAAAAAGGACACACTCAGATACTTGTGCAGTTGTTTCAAAGACTTAATACCCGTCTCTTCTCCAGGAGTTCCAGTATGCAGGATATTAAGAAAAAGCCTAGGCCTATCAGCAAAGGTATGTTTAGGATTTCTTGATAGGAAACACACACACACACACACACACATACATATATATATATATATATATATATATATATATATATATATATATATATATATAGGAAACATCAGTCTAACATGTTTCACTTTTATTAAAGTTTCATCAGAGAATGAGATGTGATATGGAGAAAAAGAAGAAAGAAATTCTGGTATTTTTACTTTTGTGTGTTCTTGTTTCCCAAGTCCCATCAAGACTTGCTGTTAGCCTCCATTTATTTTGCCGGCACTTAACTCACCAGTCATTAAAATATAATCTATTCTTCTGCATGGGGTTGGTTGGACACTTAAGAAAATACCATCACTTTACATCAACTTGACCAAAAACAGATGGTGCTTATGTGAAATGTCATCAGCATCTCAGAAAAGAAATCAAATTTACTTGTAAATGACACCAAAGAAAATTTTAAATCCCATTACTAACTTCCAATCTTTTTGGCATGTATCCTTTCCTTTTTCTATTAATTCATGCAGCATTCCCAAATGTCTTGTCCTTCTGTTTCACATGCAATGTTTTTAAAGTTCATTTATTTTCATGAAATGTCCTCAAAGGTTAATTTACTTTTTTTGTTTATCATGCAACCTTTTTGAAAGTTCTTTTTTTCTTTATTTTTTTCCATTCAGTTGTTTTAAAAAAAAATTTCCTTTTCTTTTTTCTTTTTTTATTTCTTTTTTGCAACATCTTCAAAGCTCTATTTTAAAAAAATTTTTTTTTTGTACTGTGGAACTCACAATGTCCCTTTAAATTTCTTTCTTCAACTTTTCTTTCTTTGAAATAGAAGGCTTGTCTTTTTTTCTGATGGACAAGGTTGTGCAGTGTGCTTTTTGGCTCTCCCCTCTCAAGCTGTTGTGTATCTGCCAAAACTCTGTCAATTGAGTTCTTCCTACACCCACTAACTTTCATATTGCTGTTCCTACAGCAAAAATAACTATTCGGACAGCGACCACCAATGACTAGCTTATTATTGTTCCTCTATTTTCTCTGCAGTTCATATCCCCCCCACTTCCTCATTGATTAGGTGTCTTTTTAATTGTTCCAAGCTAACCATCTCTATGGGTTTTAATAATGTCAGCATTTTTTAAGGGCAGCCTCAAGGAATTTCTCTAGCACCGGTTCCCATAATTCCATCCAATTACTTAGGCTTTTGTTCACTGTTTTTATGAGTGAGTCTCATTCTTCATACTTCTCTTCCACCTGATAATATAGTGGAATATAGTGGAAGCAAAATGGACACTCCAAAGGCCGAACACCTCTGCAGCAGCTCAATTAGGGACAATGAAGGTCCCACTCCCAAAGTTCTAGTGAGTTCTCTCCTACAAACTCTAGATAGATCAATTTGTTTCTGGGTAGTGTGATGTCTGTGCGAGTATAAATAGAACCCGCTCGGTTGTGGTGGGAACTCTTCAGTATACAGCAAACCTGGCGACGAGGATGTAACAATTTAACAAGCTTCGAATTAATGAAACACTACCCCTTCAACAGCAAAGAAAAAAATACTCTAATTCAACAACAACACAAGTTAAACTTCGAATTAACAGCAAAGAGAAGTACTCAAATTCAACAACAACACGTGTAAAACTTCGAATTAACAGCAAAGAAAAAAAAGTACTCGAATTCAACAACATGAGTAAAACCTTGAATTAACGAAACATTGCCCCCTCAACAGCAAAGAAAAAAAAAGTACTTGAATTCAACAACAACGCGAGTAACAAACTTCGAAAATAACAAATTATTTTGAAAGAAATAGCTCTCTCTATGCCAACAATAGAGCCCCTAGACCAGGAAGACTCCAACCAGGAACAAGCATGGAGAGAATGGAGTGAACATATTGAAGACACATTTACAGCGTTTGATATAACAGATGATAAACAACAACTATCACTCTTTTTGATTTTACAGGGGAAAGAAACTGAAAGATATCCTCAAAAGCTTAACACCGAAGATACCACCAGGCCAAGTAGAGCCTACATACAAAACAACAAAAATAGCACTGGATGAATATTTCATCCAGAAAACAAATAAAGTCTTTGAAAGACATAAATTCAGGATGCTTAGTCAAGAAAACGGGGAGTCAACACATGACTATGTCACCCGTCCACGCATACAAGGAACAAAATGCAACTTTGGCGAATACAACCTGGACAAGGCTATAGTGGACCAATTAATAGAAAAATGCTCATCAAGCAAATTGCGCCATGTGTATTTGAAAGAAACTGATTTAACAGTAGAGTAAGCACTTCAAAGAGCATTCATATTTGAATCCACTGAAACACAAGCTAAACAAATAGAAGAGAATGAAAGAGAGCACTCAGATATCCACAAAATTACAACCAATTACCATCAACAACAACAACAACAAGATAACAGTGGGTATAGGAAACTATCCATGGACAACAACCCATTAAAAACAGTTACAAAATCCTATGGGTGTAATGGCTCCAACCACATACACGGTCAAACAAAATGTCCAGCATTTGGGAAAAAAATGTAACTACTGTGGAGTAATAAATCACTTTGAAAAAACATGCTTAAAAAAAAGGAACAGTGATAAAGGGAAAACAAAGATGTCAAACGGCCACAATTACGTCCAACCAGTATTGACGAATCCAAATAATTCAGACAGCCAGGCATTCGTTTTTCAGGTGAAACCTATTCATTCAGCAGATAGCGAAATTGTCCATATTGACGACGTACCAGTCGGAATATTAATAGATTCTGATGCAGACATCAACCTTATTGATGGCAAAACGTTTAAAGAAATCCTTAAAGTACGGCTAAACTTAACATTATAAGAAACAAATTGTAAACCAAAAGTCTATGGGAATATTCCAATACCACTAAGAGGAGAATTTTTTGCAACGCTGACAAATGGTCCCAGAAGAAAAGCCCACAAAGTATTCGTTACAAAGGCATATCAAAGTGGTAACATATTAAGTAAGCGGGCCAGCATCGAATTAGGTTTTATCACCACCCCACAGGTGAAATCGATTAGAACAAAAAGTATCCCGAAATCAACAAAAGAAATTCTAGATCGACACCTACCCTCGTTGGAAGGATTAGGAAGAATGAAAAATTTCCAACTCAAAATTAGACTAGACGACAACGTTATACCTGTTGCACAACTGCCAAGATGGACACCATTTCATATCCAACAAGCAGTAGAGGAAAAAAATCAATGAAATGCTAGAAAATGATATCATCGAAAGAGTGGAAGGACCCACTCCGTGGGTCTTGCCATTAGTAGTGGTACCAAAACCAAACGGAGAAATTAGAATATGTGCTGACTTACGTGTGGCAAATAAAGCAGTGAAATGCACTCGCTATCAAATACCATCAGTTGAACAGTTACTGAGTGAAATTGGCAATGCAAACGTTTTCTCAAAAATTGACCTAAACTCTTATTACCACCAAATAGAACTGGATCCTGAATCTAGGGACATCACTACCTTTTGATGCAACTCCGGAATCTACCGATATAAGGTACTGGTTATGGGCATTACATCTGCAGCTGAAGAAGGGCAACGATTGCTTCAACAAATCCTTCAGAAAATCCCTAACTGCTGCAATGGGGCAGACGACATTCTAATCTGGGGCAAAGACACAAGAGAACATAACAGAAACCTAGATATGATATTAGGCACATTGAAAGAAAACGACCTCACAAAGCATATTCCATAGTGAAGAAATCGAATTCCATGGTTTTATAGTGTCCAATACAGGGATCAGACCAACTGACTCGAAAATAAAAGCAATCAGAAATTTCAAAAATCCTGAAAACGTCCAGGATATACGTAGTTTCTTATGTCTAATCAATTACCTCACAAAGTTTATTACACGACTGGTAACACTCAGCGAACCATTAAAAAAGTTAACGCGAGCAAACATGGAATGGTGGTGGACGGAGGAAGAAGAATCTTGTTTTCTCATGCTGAAGAATGCAGTCATTCAGAGCAAATCGCTCATGCACTTTGATCCAAAACTGCAAACATCTGTTATAGTAGATGCCAGCCCCGTGGGACTAGGAACAATACTTTGCCAAAACAAACAAGGGATAGTCATCACCATCAGCTACGCATCCAGGACATATACTTGAGAACTTGAGAGAGAAAGCGAGGAGGAGGAGAAGGAAGACGCAGATATCCCTATAGTCCTAAGACGAACAAAACACCGTATAAGAAACCCCAAAAGTATGCAGGCAGCAGTTTTGGAAGAAGAGGGAAACAATCTGAATACAAAGGAGGGAGCAGATGTGTGATGCCCATGCGAGTATAAATAGAACCCGCTCGGTTGAGGTGGGAAACTCTTCAGTATATAGCAATTGCCCAGATCCCGTCAGAGATACTAATAGCTTGTGGTAACACTGCGTTCATAAGTATTTCTACTTGACAGCTTTCTTTAATTCTCTCCTTATCTCCTTTCAAGCACTCACAATCTTTGATTACCCATCATGTAAATGGGGCTTAATGAGGTATACATCCCCAGTGTGTCTACACAACACTCCTTTGCCTCTTCAGCCGTCATCATCATAAACTTTGTCCTAGCTGAGTTCATTACTATATACTCCATTTCTACTTGATACTTGGCAACCACCCCTAAGCCCTGATCTTCTTGAGGGTAGGGAATGGGCAAGTTTATTACTTGATACACTTCAAATATACTCTTCCAGTCCAACAGTGGAATGGACATCAAAACTAGTAATTTTTTATTCTCTAACAATGTAACACAACCTAATGCATTGTAATATTTCCATAATTCTTCAAGATCTGCTTACAACCTTAAATGGTAACTATGCTTGTATTTTTAACAATAACTCCCTTAGGTGGCCCAAGGTCACTATTCCTGGGGGACAATTGTCTTAACAATAACATAATCTAGTTGAGCTCTTACATGCTCCATCAAAATCGTCAGGGTCTGGCTACTTTGTAGCACCTTATTAACAATGCTTATTAGCTGGAAGTCCTGCTGTACAAAGTCACTCAGCATCTGTATTTCATTTGCCATAGCTCTCGAATTGCTATATATCTCCTGCCTTAAGTCTCACAAACTGCCTATCAACTGATTGGCTCAGGCATTTCCCTTAACACTTCCAACTTAACTAGGTTGGGTTTTATCCCCTCCTTGCCAGTAACAAATCCTAGGTACTTAGTCTGATCTTTCAGGAACTATCATTTTGACTTTCATCTTCAGACCATGCTTCCTGAGATGTCTCAAGACCTGCCCCAGGTGGTCAAAATGTTGTTGGGGGGGTCTCAGAGAATACCAAAATATTGTTGAAATAGGCCATAGTGAACCCTTCAATTCCACTAAGCACAATGGATATCAACTGCTGGCCACAACAACTGCATCTTGTGCATTGGTAGTCTGGAACAAGGCCAGAGTTCTTTCTGCAGAAGCTGTGCGGGGTTTGTCAAAGTGGGTCTTGAACCAACTTGCATGTGTCTGTCTAGCAAACAGCAGTTTGAGCTGTCTGGTTCTGTTCTTTCTTCTCCACCTCTCGTCTCACTTGCCTGTATTTAGGGACCTTTGCGCAAACCTGGCATGTGGTGGTTGGGAAATTGATTGCCTGACCAAATTTAAAGAGATCCCTCTCTGAAGAGTGGTGGTGGCAGAATATCGATCTATCTAACTCCTTCCATCTTGCGTGGGTGACTCTCATCATCACTGCCCAAAGGGTGCAGGCAATTCCTCCATCTTCCTTGAAATTCTACCTGGGCCTTCCCTTTGTCTACTGATCAGATCTGTCTCCTGAGGCTAGGTGTGGTCTAGCTAAAATGTACTAAATTCAATTATCATCCAAAATTTCCATCAGTGGGGAATTCTTATAGCATCCTTGTGTGGCCAGCTGCATCTTAGATTCATTACTTGTTGCACTCACGCCATCATTTTGGTCAACAAGTGACAAAAAGAGACAATTCCTCTTAATAAATTTTATCACATCTTAAGCAGATGAAGGAAAAATATAACTACAATGCCATTCCTATTTTACAAGTCCTATCAACTGGCTGAATTTTTGCTAGACTTTCTGTTAGTCTCCGTTTACAAACGAAAAAAGAAACAAATATCCTTTCTCTCCATTCTCCTTGTCTTATCAGTATATGTTCAATCTATCGAAAAACAGCATTTCTTTTGTTTTCCAGTTTATTTTTTTTAAAAGACCCCCTTTTTTTTTTTTTTTTCAATTTACCAGCGCTGCCTTAATAGTGTCACACTTGGTCCAGTGATGCTGTCTCATTACTGCACTGGCTGCATACATAACTATGAAGCTCAGTCTACTTCATTGTGTTAGATGGCCATTGACCCTACAAAAACGTTCCTTCACCCTTTGACAGGCCTTGTTTTTAATCTTGCTCAGTTTCTCGACAACCTCCTTGCAAAAAACCTGGTGGGGTAACTAGTTTAGTCGCCAATAATCCAACCATGTGGTACATGGTACCAGTAATACACTTAGTGATCTCAAATATATATGAATTTTGCAGTTATTGAGTTATAAGATGTACACTCTTTCCTCCTGCAACTTTATATGTCAGTCTATCTTTCCAAAGAGATGTAAAGTGATGTTTAGCAGGCCAATCTAGGAAGCTGTTGAAGTTGATTCTCGTTGTTCTTATATATATATATATATATATATATATATATATATATATATATATATATATATTTTATATATTTTTATATAAAAATTTTTAATTTTTTTTTTCCGTTTTCTGCTGATGGCTAAATTTTTGTTTGTGAAATTAGTCACATGTTCCAGTAAAACTAGAAAGCTTTCTCAGCATATTATTTTGTCTTCATGCCAGGAGATCACTACAGTTTGGAATCCATGTACACTCTGGCTGAGGATGCTTGGAAAGAGCAACTGGTGGCAATGAAAGGTAAGACTAAGAATTATTGAACACAGGTTTTCATTCACTCATTTATAGCTGAAAGAAAATTAAAAAAATATGAGTTTATAAATTTTATTTTTTAGTTATTTTTTTTGACAAAACAGCACCAAAAAGGCAAATTATATTTATTCTGCAAACACTGTTTGTCCTTTAGTTTATATACAAAAAATATTAAATTTAATGGGCAATTGGGTTATTTCAGCAATAGTGGGTACAATGGATCACAATTGGTAAATTCAAAATATTAGATCTGTATCTTTTAATAGTTTTAAAATAATGTTACGAGGATGCACCGGCAACCTTTCAAAGGCTGATGAATTCCCTTCTACACGAAATTCAGGGATGTGAGGTCTACATAGATGATGTAATTGTGTACAGCATGACTTGGGACGAACATATACACATCATCAAACAATTTTTTTCTTAAGCTGGAAGAAGCAAACCTGTCGTTAACCTAAACAAGAGCGAATTCTGTCATGCAGAAATAAATTATTTGGGTCATACTGTTGGTCAGGGACAGGTGAAGCCTATCACAGCAAAAGTGGATGCTATCTTAAAGTATCCTATCCCAACTAACAAAAAACAGCTAATGAGATTTCTCGGTATGGCAGGATTCTACAGAAAATTTTGTAAAAATTTCTCATCAATAGCAAGTCCTCTCACCGATCTCCTGAAAAAGGAAGTAAAATACAGGTGGAATGAAACCTGTAATAAGGCTTTCAACAGAATCAAGTCGACTCTCATTGGTGGCCCAGCTCTTGCAACTCCAGTTTTTTCAAAGCAATTTAAACTGCAAATCGATGCCAGTGATGTCGGTATGGGTGGTATCTTAATCCAAGAAGATGATGATGGCGTCGATAGAGCCATTGGATTTTTCTCAAAAAAGTTCAACACCTACCAGAAAAACTATTCTACTATTGAAAATGAATGCTTGGCAGTGTTATCAGCACTACAACATTTTGACTTTTACCTCAATGTTACTGTTCATCCTGTTCTGATTAATACTGACCATAATCCATTAACTTTCCTTCAAAAGATGACTAACAAAAATCAAAGACTTACAAGATGGAGTCTTCTCCTGCAAGAATATGATATTATTATAAAACACATTAAAGGAAGGAACAATGTTATTGCAGATGCTTTATCTAGAGCATAACTTTAAAAAAAAAAAAAAAAATTGATATTATGACTTATTTCTTTACAAAAAAAAAAAAATAGACTGACATTGTCTTATAAAAGTTTTTCATTTTAATTTCAAAACTTTTACTTTGAAGGGGGGAAGTGTTACGAGGATGCATTTCTATAATAAGGGATTCCACTGAGTTCTACTTGTTATTACAAAAAAGATTTCATTCATGAAGTAGTTGTAAAATAGAGAAATTAGAAATAGAATGTTTGGAAGATTCTAGATCATTCTAGTATATTCGAGAAAAATCTAGATGATTCAAGAAACATCTAGAAATATGCAAATTAGGTGTTAGCCCCTATAAAAATGGGATTTTGGAAAAGGGTTGTCAGTTGATGAATGAGAATTTCTGCTGTTATCAACTCCGGCTTTTGATTCAAGGACTATTATATCCAGCTGAAAGAATCTCTATAAAAAGTTGCTGACCAACCAAAACCCAAAAGAGAATATCATGGAACAAAGTTGGTAAATAGAATTTTGACTAATTTTCATTGACCAAACTAAAAATTAATATTTATTTACACACCTTTGTGGATTTCCAAAAATAGCACTTAGATTACTTCACTAGCCCTAAAGTGATAAAGATATTTGTTTCCCCTTTCCTTCTCCCTTGTAACACTTGCCAGTAACTCTGTTTTCTGTTTTGTAGGCCACAATTGTTTATCCTGTATATATTTTATGTTCTGTTTTAGTAAATTAAATATTTGTTTGTGATTTAGCTCTGTGTTGTGGTAAATCATTTTTTTTTTTCCTTTGTTACAATTATCAACACGTAACAATCAGGATGTCTTTAAATTTCATTTTTGTGTTTTTTTTCTAGATAAGATTTTTTCAATGAACTTGTGATATTCATAGCTCCAAGGATATAACATATATAGATTTGAAACTTGGTATCAATAGTTAACAATTACTGTAGATTACAAAAATATACACAAGACACTATAATTTTTTTTTTTTTTTTAAATTTTTTTAGAGCTTCTCATTTACAAAGTATACCAGATACAACATCTAAATTAGTTTCCCTGTCATTTATAGCCTAATAGATTTTTTGATGACATCAGTAGATCAGTTAGCCAGTGTAAGAAATGTCTGGAGATTATATGACATAAGTTTCATTTTGTGGGCAAACTTCTCTCTTGGGTTAAAATATATTTTCCTAGAACAACTTGTCATGCCAAAATCATGGTTTTGTTGATTATGGCGCCTTATAAATTTGATATTTAATAAAATATGAAGCTGAAAATTGGTACCCATATAATTTCCTATGTAAATTATTTTTGGTTTCATTTTACCTTTTTACTAAATAGTTTAAATGCTATGGGCCCTTGAAAATAGTTTTTTGAATGGCCTACAAAATTTTTAACTGAACAAAGGAACTAAATCATTAAAATAAGGACTCAACTAGATTATTTTACTTTTAAATGCATCTAGTCAAAATAGTGAAAATGTAGTGCATTTATAAAAAAATCATTGTAATAATTTTATTAACATTGGTTTGGGATGAGCTGTCAAATTATTATGATTTTATCTATTGATAGGGTCAGGTTTATTTTTGTTTGTACTAGATTTTTGTTTAATTTAAGCATTTTCTAACAGAAATGTTGGTATAAATGAGTTTAACATCTATTCTATCCACAAATTTATCTATAAACCTCTGGTCTGCTGTCTCTTTCACCTATGTAGATGCTTGACTCTCCTGCTCTCTATCACTGATGCAAACGATGGGCCCCTTCTCTACTTTGCTGCTGCTCTTAATGTTGATTTATATAGAGAATCATGTTTTAACCTTGCAGGTGTTCTTGAGATGCAAAATTTCTATTGTTATGAATCTGAATTTTTCATCTGTAGTTGAGTCTGGGAAGGAAAGCCACACCCATTCAGTTCTCAGTAAAATGAAGCAAACAATTTATCTTCATGTGATAGTATTGACCTAATTCTCTTTTTAATTTTTGCCAATCAAAGTTGTACCAATATGTTCTTATTTCATAAATTTTGAATATATTATTTATTTTGGCATGCTTGGGGAGGTGGATGAGAAATTAATATATTCTCTGCTAAATGGTGAAGATAAATATATTTTTCAATTTCCCAGCCAAATTTTGGCTGGCACATTCCATCCCAAGAAATGTTTGCCTCTTAAGTTTATTCAAAAGTTAATTTCCCAGCCAACAAAAACCATCTGATGATCTGATATCTTTGAAGCATGGACTTCTCTAATGAAAAAACAATATTTTGCACCAAGCTGGTTCAAACTTTCTTGAATAGTTGACAGATCAGGTTTATAGAATGCAGAGCCTTGTTGGATTGAGATTTGAATTGTTGTCTGGCCTTGTCATTGAGTTGATCTAACTTTGCTAAAAAAAAAAAAGTTTAAACATGTTTTGCTCTGTAGCAAAATGTATTATTATTCAGAAACAATGACTTCATTATCACCAACCCTATTTTCTGTTAATGGAATGAGAAAAGATTAAAAAATGTCAATGGACACCTGTGCATTGACTGTTGAGCATATGAAGGATAATCTCTCCTGGTTCTTTAACTGTTATGTAACTATATCATGAGTGAGCAAATTTGTTTATTTCTACAACTAGTGTTATTAATGTTTTCTTGGAATAGCACTTCAAACAACTTTTAACATTATCACCTTTTACCAATCAAAATTCAGGATTCATTACTAAGTATCACTGTCATTCAATCATCCACATTCCTTGATTAGCTTCTATATAGCTCACTGTAATTTTAATTTCTTTTGTTTAGGTGTTAGTGTTGGTTTTTATTTGGCTTTTCTTTATATAAATCTCATTCAAACAATTTTTTACAGTTCTTTCCTGTTTCTGGCCATTTTTTTTTTATATGTTTTGTTGATAAATTTTCTGTTTTCAAGGTATATTGCTTTGAGTTTTCTATTTGTACATTTTCCTTTTATAATCTTTCCATTTGGTTTATATTTGTGCCGAATCTTAGAAACACCTGATTGGAAATTTATCAGACTCTTGTTTGGAATTAAAGGAGTTTTAGAATCTTTTCTATTGTTTTCAATATAAAGCTCCCTTTTTTGGCACAATGTTTTCTTTTAATTAGCCACGTCAAGCAGGTCTGAAATCACTCTTTTGACTATAGACTAATTTACTCACTTCAACTTATTTACACTATTTAAATTTGGACTATTTTCCTCATCTTTGTTGATGTTATCACAATGTTCTGGCCATTGTGCTCTATGGCCTTCATTAGGTGTATATCAATCTGGGTAACATACAGGGAATTTTGAACTGAACACTGTAAGGTTTGGTTGTTGTTAAGTATTTAGTGAAAGCCGGAGTTATATTAATATATTTTATTAATATTTATTTACAATCAATATGTTAGGGTACATGTTGACTATTTCCAGAATCTCAAGTGAAGTTTCTTCTCATTGTATTTTTATGCTAAGGGGTTTACATTGAGTGTGCGTAGGGAAGTAGTTCCTGTGCTACTGTTACATCATCCTCACCAAAAAACAAAAACTAATTGTTCTTATGCCTGCAAAGTTAATGTTCAGCTGTTAATTTTGTATTTGGCTGACATGTGTATTTCACAGCCACTTCTAGTTGTTTTACATGTTGGATGTTTTGGTGTTCTGGTCTGGAGTGTTGTTTGTGTTGCAGTATGTTAGTATTTTATTATTCTATTTTGTAGTGTGGTGATATCGTCACCAAAACGAACCTGTTTATGAGTGGCTGTTTCTGCCGCTCTTATTTGGACTCTGTTTTCTCTCTTGGAAGATCTGTCTGGGAATTTAAGAATGTAGAATCTTGGTTCTGCA